GCAACATCGTGTACCGCGACCTAAAACCGGAAAATCTGTTATTGGATGGACAAGGAAACATTAAAATCACCGACTTTGGGTTTGCCAAGCGTGTGACCGAACGCACGTTTACGTTGTGTGGCACCCCAGAGTATCTGGCTCCGGAAGTCATTCAAAGCAGAGGCCATAATAAAGCTGTGGATTGGTGGGCGCTTGGCATTTTAGTGTATGAAATGCTGGTTGGTTATCCGCCGTTTTTTGATGAGAGTCCCTTTAAAATATATGAAAAGATTCTGGAGGGCAAGCTGCAGTTTCCGCGTTGGGTTGAGGCACGGGCGAAGGATCTTATCAAGGGTCTGCTGGTGCTTGAGCCCACAAAGCGCCTTGGCTCGCTAAATCGTGGCACCCAAGACGTTAAGCGACACAAATTTTATAGCGGAGTAGATTGGGATATACTTTTACAGAAAAAGGTAACACCGCCCATTCCTGTGCGGCTAACTAAGGAAGGGGATACACGCTACTTTGACCGCTATCCAGAGAGTCCCCGCCATCCGTTGCCACCTCTGACGGCAAAACAACAAGAGATGTTTGCAGGGTTTTGTGACGGAGAGTATACCAAAGCGTAATGCACCATCTTTTTACCATGGTTGCCATTTCCAAAACATGCTTCCAAAGAACGAAAAAAAAAAAAAAAAAAAAAAAAAAGAAGGAACAAGGACCAGGAAGAAAAGAGAAAACAGGAGAGTCGACATCATTTTTTGGCCGAAAAAAAAAAAAAAAGGAGATCTGAGAGCTCTTTTCAAGTTGTGTTGAATTTCCGAGGGGACAAGGAGGTGGAGTGGCACGGGGCTTCCCACTGCTGCACTTAAGAGACATGAAACTTGTCGCTCTCCGACGTGTTTTAGTGATGATTTGATTTTATTTTCTTTTTGTTGTTGTTTGCATTTGTATCGTCTTTTTTTTTTTTTTTTTTGCGGTCGCTGCAGCCTTCAATTTCTTCTTTTTGCTTTTTTTTTCCCCCATGCCTTTTTTTTTTTTTTTTCCTTTTTTTTCATTTATGCTTGCAGTGATGTGTGACTCAGCACTGAACTGTTGATGTTTCTTTTTTTGCTGTTTTATTTATTCTCTTGTTCTTCCTTTCGGTGCCGTCTTCTTTTTTTTTTTTTGCGTTTTCGCCGAATTTTTTTTTTTTTTATTTGGGGGGGGGACCGGATGAGTCGGTTTGCAGAACCAGCAAATAAACGGTCAACAAACAACAACAACAAAAAAAGAGAGAGAGAGAGAGAGCGAGAGCGAGAGAGATACAATGGCGAAACGGTATAAATAAGATTTTACTGGAAGGTCACCTCATTCATTTTATAGGCCAGCAAATTTTTATACGCACATTTATACGATATAAGTTCTTATTTTATATTCTATCAATGTTATATATCTCTTATATCTACATAATTACATGGTCGTATATAATCTTCGTTATTCTGGGTTTGTCTCTCTCTCCCTCTCTCCCTCTTTTTTTTTTTTTTTTTGTTTGTGGGAGGGGGGCTGGAGTCATATATATTATATATATATATATGACGGGAACAAGTACATATGCATGAACGGGGCATATATGCATACATGTATACATGTATATGTTTATTTGAAAGAATAAAATAATCATGTAAATACGAAATATATGGCGTAAATCAAGGATTGACGTCAATGGAGCAAATTTAATTTAAACAATTCGTGAATATGATGTAAAGGAAAGGAATAAAAAATAAACAGAATTGAAAAATATGTGGAGTGAATGTATCTAAGTCCTGCGATTGCTGCTATTAGGAGAGACAGTAGTGACATGCACTAGTTTTGATTGATAGGTTTAAACCCTAAGTGTGTAAATTTCATTCTAAAAAAAAAAAAAAAAAAAATGAGGGAAGAAGAGAAGAAAGAAAAGCAGTTGTGAAAATCTTTTATGTTTTTTTTTTTTTTTTTTCTTCTTGTTGTTGTTGCTTTTCTTGTGCTTTTCTTTTTCTTCTGTACATGCAATTATAAATAAAGTCGATACATCTTTTGTGTATATGTCTACTAGTTACCCAAGTTTTCTCTCATCTTTTTTGTCTTTTATTTCCACTTTTGGGCGTATTTTTGACTCCTGATGTTTCTCTTTATTGACCGTTGACAAAGTGCCTACTTTCAATTCCACCATGTCGTTTTCTCTCCCTTTTTCTCTCCTTTTGTGTGTGTGTGAGTTTAATTGGGTAGGGCGGGAGGGGGAGTTAAGCAGAGGTTGGGAGCGGTTCTCCACGTGCCGCTGCGGCAGAACTCACATACACACACTTCTCTTCGTGCAGTTTCAAATTGCCGTTGAGGTGGACATTCGGCTCACACACGCGTTGAAATTTTAGTTTTTTTTTTCTTTTTTTTTTAAAATCAGACGTTTTATTTTGCGCCTTCACCCACGCACGCCCCCCTCCCTCCCCCCGACTGCCTTTCCTGGCCAGATGCACAGCCCGCATTTCCACTGAGGGGATGAATATCCCAAGTGGGTCAGATGTGTGGATGAGAAAAAAAAAAAAAAAAAGAAAAAAATTGTTCCAATAATTTTTTTTTTCTTTTATTATTATTATTATTATTATTTTTATTTTTATTGCATATACACACACAAAAACACACACACACACACAATATATACACACAAACAAAGCTACGAAAAAGGAAACATTTGGGAATTGAAAAGCGACAGGAGACGACTGGGGCAAAAAAAATAAAAGAAGTCAACAACACGGAAACGGAATCGCGGCGGGGATGCTAACAGAGCTGCATGGATGCTCCAGTTTGTTCGTGACAACGACTGATCGATGCTCAATCATGGCGAAAATGAATGAAGAAGCGGAGCGTCTCTGCGTCAGCGTTGTAATGCCGAGTGGTGTGTGTTACCAAGACGAGTTTGACGAGAAGGGTCTTTGCAATGTGAAGGAGACTCTTGGGGAAAACGTCAGCTGGGCGCGCTTCTTCAGTGTGGTCCGTGAGGCCTTCAACAATGGCCAGGTCACGGTACAGAAGGCAACGGATGCTTCTGTGGAAGTGATGTGCCATGCCGACGCCAGCGGGGAGGGTGTTGGAGTTTGTGGGGCGGAGTTTAATGTGAGTAAAGTGGATGTGTCTGTTCTACCAACTATCGAGAAGGGGCTTGTCGATCTTTATCAATTTCAGGCCCATCCAAATACTCAGGAACAGAAACTGAAAAAGTTGACCGAGGAGGTTGCTCAGCTGAAAATAAAGACGGATCAATTGGAAAAGGAGGTTTGTTTCCTGAAGGAAATTGCCCGTAGGCGAAGAAAACTGGACATATACAACATCCAACGAATCAAGCAGCTACGGGAAGAGGTGGCCAATTACGAAGGAATTTATGATTGCGCTCATAGAGCAACAAAGGGTGAAGCAACTACAAACATGAGCCACAGGAGCAGCATGCAAGCACGACACAAGGGTCGTATTCGACAACCGCTTGGAGAGAAGGAGTGCGCGGCGTATGATCCCGAACTTCTTTGCCTCATCAAAAGTCGCTGGATGACCCTGTCTGGTATGGACACGGGTTCATCATGTAATCGTGTTATTGTGCCTTCTCCTTCACCAGGCGTTTCGAACCAAACCCCTGTTTTTGGTAATAAACAACAAGAAGTTGTATGGGAAGCTATGAATAAGTTGGATGAGTGGGATTATAACGTCTTTGAGATTCAACAGACCATGTCTGGAGATGATTTTGCGTCTTTGCATCATCAACCAAATGGTGGTTCTCTTTTTATAACCATGTACGCACTGCTAATCAAATATAGTTTTCTTTCCAAGTTTAACATTGATGAACAGATTGCATTGAACTGGATCAGTTGTGTAGAGTCTGGGTATAATGGCAATCCGTATCACAACTCTATGCATGCAGCGGATGTTCTTCACATCACACACTACATACTAAGCGAAGGGGGAATGATAGAGCGTTGTCAATTATCAGACCTGCAGGTGTTTGCAGCCCTATTTGCGGCAGCTATCCACGATTACAATCACCCTGGTGTCAATAACAACTTTCATATCAAGACACAAACTTATGGGGCAATAATTTACAATGATCGGAGTGTACTTGAAAATGCGCATGTTTCTAGTGTTTTTGAACTGATGAAGAATCCACGATTTAACATTCTTGAGAGTTTTTCTGAGGACCAACAAAAAGAAATCCGGGAAACTGTTATTGAGATGGTGTTGGCTACAGATATGAGTTTGCACGGGAAGCACATTGCGCACTTTAATGACCGCCTTGGGGAGCACGCTTCCTTTACGGAACGCGAAAATCAAAATCTGGCCTTAGTCATGGCGTTGAAAATGGCTGATATCTCCAACTGTGGCCGGCCGCTTGAAATTTACCTCAAATGGAGCTCAAAGTTATCGGATGAGTTTTATCTTCAGGGGGATCGGGAAAGGAATCTCGGCATGCAGTGTAGTCCGTTTATGGACCGCATGGAGCCTGCTCTCGCCAAGGGCCAGATTTTATTCATAAATTATATTATTATTCCATTTTTTGAGAAAATGGCGGTATTTTTGCCCAAAATGCGTCTTGCGGTGGAGTGTGCTGAGAGCTGCAAGGCATATTGGCTAAAATCTGGACAGGGATGAGAGTTGGATTTTTTGCGACGAAAAGGGAGAGGACGGGTAAATGCAAACAATTTCCCTCTTTCTTCTAAATATTCTTTTTGGCCCCCCCTCTTTTTTTATTTATTTTTCTCTGTTTATGTTCTTTTTTTGTTTTTTGTTTTGTCTGCTTATTTTGTCCTTGGGTCTTCACCCCTGTCATTATGTAAAATGAGTATTGAATATATGGTGCTGCCATTGGAATTGGCTTGGGAGAGGCGAGGGGTGCTGTGATGGGTGTCCGCAATGCCGTGCATTCACCCACCCAAGCACCCTTATTTCTCCAATTGTTTTTTTGTTTAATCTTGTTGAAGTTCAAAAACGGGAGCGCAAAAAGATGAGCGCAGCCGATAATTAAAGAGTTGGACATTAGGATCTTTTTGCCACTTTTGCTCTATCTCATTGCCTTCTTTTTATTTTATTTATTTATTTATTTTTGTATGCCTTCTCTGCTTCTGTTTTTATGATTCCTCACAGATTTTACCCAAGGGAGGTAAGATGAGTTCTCACCTGTCGGAGCTGTGCAAGGCCAGCGAGGTTGGTCCCATCATGGAGCGTCTTAAGCAGGTATACCCGGAGCGTCCCAACCTGGGCTGTGATTATGATGATGATGATGATGATGATGCGTTTCATTTGGCTTCTGGCTTTACGAGAGAAGTTCATGAGCAGATGCGATGCACGTTTGAGGGCATTTGGGGGTACCAGGATGACGATGGCAGGACTGCCCTTCACTGGGCGGTAGCCATGCGGAATTTTTCTCTAGCTGGCACACTCATGAAGGCACCCTACTTTTCTCTGGTTTTCAGCGAGGATCACGACGGCGCATCGCCGTTTATAACAGCCTGCATGGTTGGTGCACCCGAAGAGTTTCTGAAGGAACTCTTGACGACAGCGGCGGCACAGAGAAGCTGGAAGTTGACCCAGGAGCAAGAGAGCATAGATAGTAAACAAGAGCATGTTACGGCGGATGTGAATTCAGGGGAAACCAAGTCCCTAGATGACTCTCTTATGAATCATAAAATAGCTATTCTGGATCAAGCTGACAACCTGGGGAATACGTCACTTTTATATGCTGCTGGGCGAGGCAATATTGCTATTGTGCGTTTCTTGTTGCAACTTGGGGCATCAATTGATCATCAGAATAAACGCGGACAGTCTGCACTCCATCGTGCCACGAGTCGCGGTACAAATGATGTAGTGGAAGAACTTGTAGTGACAAGTCGGAAGGTACATAGTGTTGCAGAACACCGTCGTTGGATGAATTTGCAAGACTACCATGGCGACACCGCCTTATTTTACGCCTCGATGGACAATAACGAAGAGCTGGGCCGCTATCTGTTACGTCACGGTGCTGACCGCGAGATAAGAAATAAGGAAGGAAAGGCGTTTTGGGAAATCTAATCTCTTCCTGTTCTTTTATTACCATTTTGATGGTTTAGAAGAAGTGCCTTGTTTGCGGTGGTTCCCATTTAAATTATAATGCCCATAGTGTTTTATGCACATGCATTTCTTGTGATGTCACTGCATTGGTTTTGTGTGTCTTTTTTTGTGTGTTTGTTGGGGGTTATTTTTTTTTTCCTTATGTGTCCGTTTGTATGATTATTTAGTTGGGGCGAAGGAATTAGGGGAAGGCGCGTGTCTTGCAGGTTGTTGGGAACGAAGGAGCCGTAGTGAGGAAGCTGGGAACAGCAACAGCAACAAAACACACACACACAAAAAAAAAAAAAAAAAAAAAGGGTGAATACACGGATGAATCGACGTGAAAGACGACGTAAGCGGGAGCGTGAAATTCTACCACCCGCGCTTTCGGCTCTTATCACATGCATTTCCCCACAAACTGACCCTGCCGCGCCCTTGCGTTACCTGAAGAGCTTCTCAAAACGAGAATTGGTTGACGTTGACGAAGAGGACTGCGTCTACGTGCTTGAGGGAGATGGATTAAATCGACTATGTGAGGGGCTTGGGAACGGGATATGCGCCAAAGATCTGTTAGCCGTTGCTCGTCGTGCGCCGCGCAGTCAATCAACACTTGAGAAGATCGATGTGACAGAGTTGTGCTTTGCGATTGCTCAGGTCATTGCTCCAGTGAATGTGCACGAACGGCGACGAAATGTTGGGAGCACGGAACCTTTGGATGAAAATGCTCCGCTCATTAAGTACTACTCAAAGGGTCGTTTTGCCTCTCTCTTGGAGTGTGTCAACACAGAGGATGCCCAAATTGAGTGGCAGAGGTTTATTGCTTGCATTTCTTCACCACTTCCAATGACTTTACGTGTACACCGAAATGAACGGGCTTTAAAGCATATTGCAGATGAGTTTTTGTTACATGACCCGATGCTGCGTGAGGTGGTGCATTCCGTATCTCCCTTGCTTCCTCCCAGTATAGGTCTCTACGGTTGTTCTCATGCCGTTTACCACACAGAACCTCGGGTTGAGTATATTTGTCGAACATTACACGCCGCCAGCGCGGTGTCTTTCCAGGAGGCTGTGTCGGTTCTTCCAGTTATGGTGGCGGATATCCATCCGCATCACGCGGTTTTGGACATGTGTGCTGCACCAGGAAGCAAAACACTACATGTACTTGATGAGATGCTGCAATACGGTTGGTCCACATCTTCTGTTTCGCAGGGTGTATTCTTTGTAAATGAAAAAGATCGTATTAAGGCCACCCAAATATTGCCTGCTCGTTTAAAGCGTTTTCATGCGCCAAATGTGATTTGCACCCGTTGTGACGCCTCGCAATGGCCACGACTGTTTTATTCTTTTGAACGAGGATCTTCATTTGCAGAGAAGCGATTTGACCGTATTATTTGCGATGTTCCATGTAGTGGGGATGGCACAGTTCGCAAGGAACCAGCATTGGCGAGTTCTTGGAGTCCTGGATATGTCAAATCACTTGTGCCAACACAAAAGGCACTGCTGCGACGTGGATTGGATCTTCTCAAGGAGGGTGGGATTCTTGTTTACAGTACGTGTAGCATGAATCCAAAGGAAGACGAGGAAGTTGTGTGTGCGGGCTTGGAGTTATTTGGAGATACCGTGGAGCTTCTTGATGTTAATGCCATTTTAAGAGAAAAGGGTGCGTTGCTACACTCTGTTGGTGGCATTTTATCTCCCAACGTTGACCAGTTGCAAATAGCCACGTTACCTTTGACGTTTGATGGCCGAAAGGTTTTACGTGTTTTGCCCCATCGTGATGACACAGGTGGGTTTTTTGTTGCCGCTTTTCGTAAGCGATCGTTGCCAGATTGGGCCCCTCCCTTGTTGCTTCAGGAGAAGCTGAATCATTGGACAAAAGGGAAGTTTTGGGCCCCCGTAGGCAGAGATGATCCTGAATGGTGTAATATCGTTGAGTTCTACGGGATCAATCCGAATTGCTCTGGCACCTTTCAATACTACAATTCTACATTGGAGAAAAAGGAGGAGAACGTAGTGGGCTCCGGTCTCGTGCCTCTCTACCATTTGAACCCCAATGGTGCTGCGTGTCGGCGGATTGTTCTTGTGACGGTTGCCACCGCTCGCATGCTCTTTGAGACGCGGCCATACAAAGGCCCTGGTGTGGAGATTGTCTCCGTGGGTTCTCGCGCCTTTGAGGCGTACGATGGAAAATTTCTTTTAAATGCAAGGTGCCGCTGGCGGGTGGTTGTTGAATCCGCCTCATATCTCGCCTCGTTTATGCGAGCGCGTAAGATAGTACTGAATGCGACCCATCACCCGGAGCTTATACGTGAATTGTTTTCGAACGGATTTATTTGGTTACGGGATTATTGGCATGTCATTTTGCGTCAGGTATCCGTTGCTGCTTCTAATACCACTACTACTGCCAATACTTTGACCAGCAATAATAATAATAATAATAATAATAATAATAATAATAATAATAATAATAATAATAGTATTGGTAATAAAGAGACTTATTCGGGTGATGCCGCGGAGGTTTTTACCTCGTTTGTTCGCAGTGATGGGCCACTTTACGAGCTTCTCAGATCCAAGGGATCGACGGAGTCATTGACGCAAGAAATTTGTCCCCTGTTCGCGGAAAACGTGTTGGTTGGAGGAGTTCTTGTTGGTCTTGTGGGTGGCAAGTTGGCAGGTGAAGAAGGCCCGTGGTGGCTTAGCGCGACAATCAGTAGCTCAAAACTTGAGCTAGCGGTGGATGTCTCACTTCGCACGTTTGGTCTTCTTGTTTTTTTGGGTTTCGATACAAATAATACCATGCCAGGGGTTAGGGTCCCTATCGCAAAGTGAATTTGTAAGACAAAGCAGCCCGGAAATTTCTGAATTTTACTCAATGGAAATGGCTGGTAAAGAAAGGGTTTGGGTGTTTCTTTGTGGTTGCCTGAGGGCCACATATACCGTCGTTTTTTATTTGTTTGTTTGTTTGCAAAAGCGTTTATTTATTGCATGTATTTGCTTTTGTTTTTGTTATGCTTTAATATCTATCTATATATACATTGCGTTTGTTTTTCTGTTGCCTACCCTTCTTTGAAAACGATAGGCGTCAAAGGACAGGATGCAGGTTGGGGTTGGCGATGATGAGTCGAAGCGTTGCACTTTTCAAGGCTGCACACAGGTAGATCCTCTTGCCTCTCGTTGCGTCCTTTGCGGTGATATGTTCTGCGCTAACCACACATCCGTGGCTGCCCACATGTGCCGCACGTTCAACGCCCAGAACGTCAACTGTCCTGTTTGCCACCAAGTCGTGTCACTGGAGCGTTCTGGGCAGCCAATAGATGAGGCCGTTTCGCGACACATCGATAGGGGTTGTCGTCCGGCTGCGTTGTTGTCGACCGGTATGAAGGAGCGAACAAACTACTGTAGCTACACGGATTGCAGAAATAACTCTGTGGCCTCCATCATTTGCGAGGACTGTGGCAATAGGTACTGTATTGAGCATCGCGCCCCCGCGCGTCACCAGTGCCGAAAGGCTCGAACGCCAGCCGTTCCTGCTTTATCACAGGCGATGTCATCCAAGCCGACGCTCTCTTCCGGCGCAGTCTCTCATTCCCACTCATCGCCGCAGAAGAATTTTCCGCGAAATACTCCCAGTACGGCTTTTGGGACCCGAGTTGAGGGCACGGTGACGCCGCTGGTCCTTTTTGCTAAAGAATTTGGCGTTTCTCCGTTCTTTATGCATTTCTCACGTCTGATGGTGGTGGGTCGGGCGCTGGATCTAGCCGTTGGTCAGGCGACTCTTGATAGTGCCGCTGTTGGCGCAGAGAAAGGGACGTGGGTGTTACATGTGGTACAGCGGCCACACAGTGTTGACGGGTTTTCCGTGGTTGCTCCGCCTTTTTCTGCAACATTGAAAACGGCAGGTGTGGTGGATGGCTCAATCGTCTATATTGGGAAGAAGTCCGTGCAACCGGATGATTTGTTCAGTGAACTTGCCCCGCATCTTGCAAATAAATTCCACCGTGGGAAAGAAAAAAAATGTGCCTCCATGTGACTGGAGGATCCCACGGGAGAAACCTATATGGATTTGCTGGGGGGCATACCTTATGAACTTCATGCCATGGCGATTGGGGTTTTTGTGCTATTTTCACTCCCTCGCCTTTTTCTTTTTCTTTATATATATATATATATATAGTTATTACGAGTGTTTATTTCCAACCCTTTTTGGAGAAATAGACTGGGGTTGGTGGCCGTTTCCGTTATACACACTCACTTGTTTTGTACCCAAAAGCGGGGGTAGTTTTTGTGATGAATGCAGCGTTTTCAAGAGTGGAAAATGGATGCTTTAGCGGCTCCTATTTGCTGGTATTTTCTATTCCCAGTTCGGAGGGAGGAATAAACTCAAATTGAAAGACTGAAAGACTTGTCGTGCATAAAGGTCTTTGCCTTTTAACTGTCTTATCACGGTGTTTTATTATTATTATTATTATTATTATTATTATTATTATTATTATTATTATTATTATTATTATTTAGTGTTGTTGTTTAAACCTCTGGGAGGAATGTGCGAGCAGACGGGCCAAATAAATGAGTAGGTTTCCTATGGATCCCCTCTGTTTATTTTATCCTGTACTTGGCTTTGTTCCGAGAGGTACCGCGCTGGAAGGCAGTGAGTGCGTCTTTTTTTTTTTTTTTTTTGTACCAGTCATCCCGCCCACCCAACAACTATTGCCCTCCACGCCGAGGGGGAGCCCGGCGGCTGCAGGGCAGTTCAATGCTGCTGCTTTGTGAGTTTGCAATGGGTTTGGGGACCATACATGTGCCGTTCGAATCCATTGGGCTACTGCGGTGCGTGGGTGTGGCTGTTGGAAAATTCTCGTCCGAATCGGGATTTCGGTCGCACTGAAACGACTTTTTGCCTCCCGCTGTTGTGTCGTCTCGCTTTGTAAAAGGTGGGACGAGGCCTTGTCCAGACGCACATTTTATTTATGATTTTTTCTTCAGGTTTGAAGGTGTTGTATGTGTTTTGTTTTCCATCAAAGCGTTGATTGTTGCTTTGGATTCACTCCTCTTTTTTTTTTTTTTTTTTTTGATTCGACTCTTAGATCCCAGCGTTGCTTTGCCAGCTGGAAGGGGAAAGCTAAAGCAATAAGGATAGGGAACAACGAAGCACGAAGTACACAGGAAGAACTCAACTGCAGAAATAACAAAGCCGTATGATAGCGTCGGCAACGCCACACGCAGGCTGTGAGACAGCCACTGCCAAGATTGTTTTGCTTGGTGAGTCCGCCGTAGGCAAGAGCTCCATCGCACTGCGTTTTGCACGGAATGAGTTTTGTCCCAATCAAGAAACTACCGTTGGCGCTGCCTTTCTCTCGAGGACTGTGAGCGTGCCAAATTCTTCTTCTTCCACGCAGGATTCTACCGCGTTTGGGGCTGTAAAGTATGAGATTTGGGACACGGCAGGGCAGGAGCGGTATCGTTCACTCGCACCCATTTATTACCGCGGTGCATGCGGGGCGTTGGTTGTTTATGATATCACAAGTGTGGATAGCCTCAAGAAGGCCCAGACGTGGCTACGTGAGTTACGCGCCAATGCGGATCCGACGCTGGCCATCTTTCTGCTGGGGAACAAAAAGGACCTGGAGTCGCTCCGGCAGGTTTCGCATGAAGATGGGAAAGCGCTCGCGCAGGAGGAAGGCGTAAATGGCTTCTTTGAAACATCCGCCAAAGAGAATGAGAATATTGAATTGGTATTTGTAGAACTTGCGCGAACGCTGCTCGAACACGGACTGGCATCGTCGTCCTCAGCCGGCGGAGTGGGGGGTACGCGTGGGGCAAAACGGTTGGAGCCTCCCTCACGTCCTTCAAAGACGTCGGGTACATGCTCTTGTTGAACGCCTGGCAGGAACGAGACGAAGTGAAGTAATATATATAAATAATATGTTTCTGTATGTACCTGTGTCGCTAGTGATTATTAGTAGTAGGCTTGATTCTTTTCTTACCCCGCTTCTTTTGTGTTCTTTTTTATTCCGGCACCCACAAAAAAAAACAAAAACAATAAATAATAAAAAAAGGATTAGACTTGCCATATTTTTGCGCGCGCCAAGTGTTATTATTATTATTATTATTATTGTGAATGTTGGGAGTAGTTCTCTGTTTCTTTTATCGTGGACATGACGGAAGTGGGGCGCTGCCACGTGGAAGGCGAAGGAGGGGAATAACTCTTATACACTTAAAAATTCACAAAAGGAACGGTGGAAAAAAATATTGCCCCCTGTGTTTTATCTTACTGTTGTACCTTCCTCACTTGTTTTTTTGTTTCTTTGTGCAATGATTTATGCCTTTTTTTTTTTTTTGCGCGTTGTGAACGACTTTCGCGGGTCTCTTTATTTTCTTTTTCTCATCTCATTATTATTTGAGGGCCTGCTTCTCAGCTCTCCCAGGGCAGCAAACACGCGTTGGCGGCTGCCTGCAAGGGTCGCAGGGGGAGGGATCGGTGTGGAAAGGATTATTGTAGATACAAGGAACACACACAAAAAAAATATTTAGTATGGAGGAGGGCTATTCCGGGGACGAAGTGGCGGCAGGTATGTGTGCTGTGGGGTCCTCACTTCCGACAAGATCGCCGCCACTCGACCCACCGCATTCTTCTTGCGCGCCGTCCCCGGTGGGACGCTCCGCCACTGTGATCGGTGGCGCAGTAATACGCAGCCCCATGGCAATGACGTCCCCAGCCGCGCATACGACATCTATTGCTGCTGCTGCTGCTGCTTCTTCGGCAGCGGGGCGAGCAATGGAGAGCGTTTCTCCGGTGTCTACCACAACCGCCGCGGAGTATGTGGAAATTGAACAGAAGCAGGCGGAGCTGAGGAGTGTTGTAGAACATCGTATTATGACGCTTGAGCGATCACTAAAGCGTCGTGAAGAAGAAATAGAAACGTTGAAAATGCAGCTACGTAAAACTGAGGAGGACTATCAGTTTAACTATGAGCTCATCAAGGACCGTGATGCGGCGTTGGAGGAGGCTGCGACGCAGCTTCAAGTTTTGTACGACGAGTTGAAGCACCGCAAGTCGGAGGAGTTGACATTATCCAAGCGTTTGGAGGGGCTTGAGAAGGAGACACACCATTTACGGCAAAGACTTCGAGAGACGGAGGTGGAACGCGAACAGACTGTGCAGCGCGTTCAGCAGATGTATCAGCAGAAAGAAAGACAACTAAAGGAGGCTTTTGGCCAAAAAGAGACGGCACTAGAGGCGGAGAAGCAGCGTCTACATGAAGAGTACTTAAAAAGATTTAAAGCAATGGATGACATCCGGGAAGAGACGGCGGATAAGAGTGAGGCGCTGGCGAAAGAATTAGAAGCGAAATGGGGTCAACAAGTGAGGGGTTTAGAGGAGAAACTAGTTGCATCCACCAAAGTGATGGATGCCGTACAGAGTGAGAAGGCGGCCATTGAGTCTCGTTACTCTGAAGCATCTCAGGCATTGTCTCTATTGAAGCATGAAAATGAGTCACTCCAACAGCAGCATCAAGTTGTTGTGGCGGAGGCTGCTGAAAAACAACGTGAGTTGGAGGCGAAATTGAATGAGTACAATGCCGTTATGGGACAAGGCATTGCCAACGCTGAAGACAGTATCCGTCAGCAGACACGGCGAGCCAACATGTTAGAGGTAGAGTGCGGCCAACTACAGTCGCAAGTAACGGAGCTACAAGAGCGGTTGCAGGCGTCACGAATACAGAGAGATGACGATACAAAACGTCTCATGGAGGAGAGTAATAAAATGCGAGAGAATTACCGCCAAGCAGAGACGCAGATGGAAGAGCGACGCCGGAATTGGGCAGAAAGAGAGCGTCAATTAACTCTGCAGTTGCAGCGGCTGCAAGAAGAGCTTGAAGACGCAAGAAAGAAAGGCGACACAGCAGTTAGTCGTATGGGCGAGTTACAGGCTCGTTATGAGGTCTCCCAAGAAGAACGGGCCCGGTGCGAACAGGAAATCGAACGTTTTCGTCGGGATCTTCAGCGCTGTCGTGAGGAGGAGCAGCGCACTGCGACGCACGCGCAAGAAGTGCAGCGTGCTGCAGAAGAAAAGGTTCGTGACGCCGGTCGTGAGGTGGAGGTTGCACAGGAGGAGGTGGAGCGACTGAAGAAACGTCTATTTGAGGCACAAGAACGATCCCAGTCAGAGGCAGCGCGACTAACGCGAGAGTTACACGCTAGCGAGGCGGCACGTCAAGCCCTCGAGGAGCATTTCCACCTTGCAGAGGACGCCAACGGGCAGCGGGCGCTTATCGAGAACTTGCGCCGCGAGAAGGAAGCACTGGAGCGAAGAGTATTGGAGCTGGAGCAAACAAATGCGGCGATACGAGATCAAGTAGCCTCCTTCACTATGGAGCTACAAAACGACCCCGTTGTAAAGTCTGCGAAGGAGACGCAGCGCCGAGTACAAGAGTTACAAGAGCAATTATTGCAAGCCCGTGAGGATATTCAGCGTCTGCGCGACACACTCCGTGCGAAAGAGGAGGAGTTGTCGCGTTACCAGTTGGAGATCCTGCGTGCGCGCTCTGCGGAGACGGCGGTTTTGCATCAGCGGGATCAGGAGGACCAACGCCTTCGTGAGGAGTACCAAAGCGCAAAGGAGGCCTATGAAAGTATGCGAAAAGCGCTCAGGGATCAAAAACAACAACAACAGCAGCAGCGAAGTAGAGTATCGCCTGGAAAACCAGCGACACTAAATCAGAAAAGTGGCAGTGATGATGACGATAGGAGGGATAGGCACCGAAGTGGTGAAAAAAAAGTTTCTTGTGGGGCCGAGAGGGATCCCGTGTCGATGCGGGAGGCGGACTTGTGGCGGCGAAAGTATCTGCAGCTGGAGCAAAATCTTCGTGATCTCCTTCGGGAACGTGATGGCTTGGCAAGGGAGCTGCAACTCACGCGTCAGGATGTCGACGCATTGACAAGCGAGAAACAATCCCTTGTCGATTTGAACTCCCTGTTGAAGGCTCAGTTAAGGGAGGCGTACCGGACCGCATTAGAATACCCACAGCTGACGCTACGACCGCCAACACCAGAACAAAATCAGCATCAAGGGGGGCAAAAACAACAGCCAGCCGTTGTTCCAATGCAGACTGATACAAATTTAGAATCTGGGAGAAAAGCGGTGCAAGATTCAACCCAAACAGTGCCTTCGCTCGCTGTAGATGCCTTCTTCCGGGGTGTTTCGGCCCCGCAGTCCTCCGTCGATGCAGAACGTCTTTCTGCCTTGGAAGTGGAGCTGGCAGCGATGAAGGCAAGTATGCTGAACCATCGTCAGAGTTTTACACGTGCCTCTCGATCTGGCGGGGGAGGTGCCGCTGCCGCTTCCAAAGATCGGGACACCCGAAGACAGTTGCAACAGCAACAACAGCAGCAGAAGCCACAAAAAAATACTCCCCAGACTGCGTCGATGAGTCGATCTCTCAGTCGGAGTGGGGCGCCGTTGGTTCACCGAGGTTCCTCCGTGGTGCGTCACTACGGCTACATGTAAACACACTCATGCTCATTCTCCTTTTTAACTGCTTCTTATTGTTATTTCTTTATATATATATACAAACCAACACTTTTGCAGTTTATTTTTCTTATTTGGGGTATATATTTAGATGTTGTTTTGATGACCGTATCTTTGAGATTGTTGTTTTTCATTGGGAGTGTACCGGACTTTGATTGCATCTCTTCACGCTCTTTCAGATTGGTGTGGAATATAAGTGGGGGTACTGGTCTGATCCATAGGGGAAAAGCAAGAACGAGAATCAAGGGTGTGACGCACACGTACGCAGAAGACGGGGAAGCAAAGAAGCAAATTTGCAGAGAGAAGTGAAGGAAAAATCACAAAGGGAATAGAATACGAAAAAAAAAAAAAAAAAAAAAAAGAAACAAAAATCAAAACAGAAGGAAATAGAATTAGCCGGGGAAAAAAAGGGATTAGCGTAACGCCCGGTGAGGTTCAACAGGATGGGGGTAAACAGCTCGCGTGAGCGACGCTCTCAGCGTCGTAGTCAAAGCAACGCGGTGACACCTCCAGCCAACATGCCTCCACACCTAGCAAACCAGTACAGCAACCGACGTCAAATGCCAAGCAATGGCAACAATGTGCCAACAGCGCCAAATTACGATGCATCGCGGCCAGCGCCAACACTCCCACCACCACCACCACCACAGCAGCAGCAGCAGCAGCAGCCTTCTTCTCCTTCTGGAAACACCGACAATAATAACTCAGCGAATAACAATCAACGGGGTGTTCAGGAGGGACAAATTGTAAAGATGTTGGCAACTATTGATGCCTCTTCAGTGGATTACGATCCAACTATGCAGCGACTCAAGTTTCGCGTTACAAGCGTCTGCCCGTTTTTGTCATACGAAATTCATACCGGTGTGAAGGAATACATCAGAGGGGGAGAGGTTTTTTATATGCCAAACAAGCCCAAAATGGAGCCGCCGCGTCTCACGCTTGAAGGGCCACAGGAAAATAAGGAGATCAATGTGCATATTGATGTGTCCAAGTTAGAGGAAAAAGAGCGTGTCTATAACAAACATTACCCCAAGCAGCAGCCGTGTGTCATTGTTTTGCGTTACCGTATAAAGGAATTACGTAAGCAGGAGAATAGCAGCGCAAATGCCTCTCCAGTTGAGGAGATTGTGGAGCACACGGAACACACCGCGGTGGATCTTGCTGAAAACCCAAAGAGGCGGGTAATCAGTCAGATTATTACAGCTGGAGGTTCAGCGTATGTGGTAGAAGACTTATTTGGAGTGGATGGAGATAGCCCGGGTGCGGCTAATGGCAATCCGGAGGTGATGCTCGGAACCACCATTGTGCCTCATGAAGGCGAGGAAGATGAGGATGGATTGTGTGTTATTTGTCTGACCGTCCCAAAGGACACCGCAGTCATGCCGTGTCGTCATATGTGTCTTTGCAAGGGTTGTGCGGAGGAGTTGATGCGTCACACACCCAAATGTCCTGTATGTCGAGGCTTCGTTTCGACACTTCTCCATATGCCGTCGATAAATGGCAACAGCCCTGCATGAACAAGGCGTCTGCCGTGATGAAATTTCTTCAAAGAGTTTGCCTGGTAAACCAAAAGTTTAACGTGTGGGTTATGCAAAAAAAAAAAAAAAAAAAAGAAAGAAAAGGAAAAAAAAAAGTTGAAAACGAATAAAATGGCAGAAATACATCAGAAAAAAAAAAAAAAAAAAAGGACAACATTGAAGAAATTGATAGTGAGATGGGTTAGGATGGAATGGTTTCTCAGTAAAGTGGGCTCACTGTGCGGTGGAGATGCGCCTACCGGAAGGAACATGAAGAGGGCAGCTGAAAGGAACGACGACACTCTAAAATCCTGGAGAAGAGCAGAAAAAAAAAAAAAAAGAATCGGGCAACGCGGTACGTCCTGCACGCCCTTTCATTGACTGCGTCGTGGAAATTTTGAATAAATGAGCGGGTAGGCAGCAATCCGGATGGCGTGGCGCTGGGGAGGAGGAGGGATGGAAGAATGGCGTTTCTGAATATGTTGGTTTCTCCTTGTGCCTGCTCTTTTTTTATGTTCCAGCGTCTTTTCCACATCACCTCTTCTGAGCGTGCTTTCGTTCCTCAGTATCCACGGTTTTTATCTAAGTACGATGCGTCACCGGGCAACTTTGATCGCTGTGACCAGATGTGGCTATTATCCGGCCTTTTTTCTCATATATATGTGTGTCTGTGTGTGTGGGCTGCTCCATGCTTTCCATCGCGTTTTTCTGCCGAATGTTGATGTATATGCCGTCCCGTCGTCTTTTTTTTTTTTTTTTTTGGTCATCACAAAACGCAAAAACGCGTTGTTAGGAACAACATGAGAGGAAAATAATTATATACATTTATATATACATATATATATATATATATAAGAAAACAGCAAAGGAAAGAGAAACATATGAACACGAGTGGCGACTTTTACTTGTTGGTGGATGGGAATGCATTGTTTTCCACTTTTGGGACTCTGCTTTTCTCTTTTTTTACCTCTCACTTTTTTTTTTAAGAAATCGATTTTTTTTTTTTTTCTTCTATTCCTTTTATGTTGATTTAATTGGTGCATTATTTGTTTTTGTTTGCGTGTTTTTTTTTTTTCTTATTGATTCTATGGCTTTTGCTGCTGGGGCGAAGAAAAACAACAACAACAACAACAAAAAAAACAAAAGCGGCGGGGCTGTGAGAGGAAGCTAGATAATGAGAGGATGCAGTAGTGTGTTCCAAAAGTTAATTTTTTTTTTTTTTTTTTTTTTGTATTTGTTTGCGTGTTCCATTGCGCACTCGCGACCTGAAGGCGCCCCGTTGGCGGTGATTGGGGACAAAAACAACAACAACAACAGCGACAGACGTTGGCGTATCTATCTACCTATCTTTCTATATAAACACACTTATGCACTGCTGAGGGGAAATGGGAAGAGTGTGGTGGTGGTTTCTCTCGTTGTGATGCTCTTTTTAATTGTTTTTCTTTTCTTTTTTTGTTATTTTTGGTGCAAAGGCCTAGGGTGACGGGCTGTTGGTAGTGTTGCTCGAGAAGTGGGGTTTGCGAGGGGTAGTGATGGCGAACGACTCGTGCCCAAACTGCTGCGCCGTCCTCTCCCTAATGGGCATTGTTCTTCTTCTTCTGTTTGGCGGCATGTTCCGTGCGCGTGCGGTTTCATTTCATATTACGAGCGTAGAAAATGGCTGGGATATCGACGAGAAGGCTCGTGCGTGTTTTAACGGGGCCATCTTTTACGGAATCACCCTTTTCATTTCAGTTGTGGCACGCATTTATACCCGGCGTAGCCAGGCTGCAAAGCAGGCGCTTTTAGAGGCAGAGCGACTACGTGAGAGTATCGAGCTGCGTGTTAAATAAAGCAGCTGGACGGGGTTCACATCTTCTATTTTTTTTTTTTTTTGTTTTCTTGACTCTTTTCCCCTTTTTGGGTGAGTTCTCGTTTTATTATTATTATTATTATTATTATTATTATCATTATTATTATGAGGGCCGGAGAAGAGAAGAGGGAACGGGGTTTAATCGGAATGGAGGATGTGAGCTTAACGGTGTTCACGCGGTACATTATTCGTCTTTTAAAGGCAGAGTTAATGGGTGGGGGATGGAATCTGTGCTCATTTTTCACTTCCACCGTGTCGCTGTGTTCGTGTGCGGTCATGATGTTTCGTGTGATACGTTGGGGAGGAGATCTACGTACATAAAATGCAGTGATGGCATGCTGAGTACCCCGGGCAATCTTCTCTACACTGCCTACGCTACTGTATTTTGTCCGCTACGGATGCTCTGTGATATGTTGCGCAATGAGTGTTTTTTTTTTTTTTTATTATTATTGTAGTATCTTATTTTTTTTTTTTTTTTTTTTTTGACCTTTATTATTATTATTATTATTTTCTTCTTCTCATGCCTGTTATCCTTTTGGAGGCGTGATCTGTGCCCTGTTGGCGGGAACAATTTCTCCATTTAATTTCTTTCTTTTTTTTTCTCTCTCTCTCTCTCTCTGAACACGGGCAAACAAAATTTGAAATGAATGAAGAATTGCACGTTAGGGATAAATTTCTAGAGAGCGTGCGTGCACTTTTGGGAAAGACACGTCACGGAGACATAACAGCAGCAGCAACAAGGCGAAGGACGGAAAAAAATATTGAATGGATCAGTTTAAGCAGCCTCTGGAAGGCATTTTCCGCGATGGTATTCCTGCTCCCGTTCTTAGGGCCTTTGCGCCACTTTATCAGGCTCTGCCCTCGCTTCAAGATGCAGTGACGTCTAGCCGTGACTGCTACTACTGGCGCGCAAACCCGCTGAAGTGTGTGGAAGAAGATGTACAAACGGTTACATCGTTTATGCAGGCAAGCGAGGCGTCATTTCGTCTTTGTCCACAACAGAGCGCCACACTTCTGAAGTGTCACATGACAGAGCCTGCCAGAGCACTCTTCTTTTGCCGCGACGAGGAGTGGGAGTGGCGGACTTGCCTGATGGACCAAACCGGCATCCGCTTCTGGCCCTATGCTAACGCACCGGTTGGTGCTCCATGGAGTAATGGCGGACAAACAGAAGATTTTCATCTTGAGGATCGCTTCTTTTATGAGAACTTCTCATGGTGGCGACGAAAAGCTGCGATGCTTGCCGTGCGTCGCCGGGAGCTGGAGGTACAGGCTCAGAGAAAAAATTGGCTGGATGAGCAAAAGCAAAAAGAAAAGGGGAATTTGACGCAGTCGTTATTACCACCAAAACCAACCTTGGCACCCGTAGGGATCAGGATGAATACCAGTTAGTCTATTGGGTGTTATATTGTATATATTAGCGTGCATTTTTGTGTGTGTGCGCATGGAGTCCACTTACTCTCTAAAATGAAGGGGCGGACAGGGAAAAAGTGTGACGCTAAAAAATGAATGATGTGTTGCTCTTGTAGACAGAGAGAGCGAGACAGAGAGGTGTGTGTGGGGGGTATCGTCAGTGATAAGAAAATGGGTTAGTATAGGGGAGGGGGGGGGGAATATATATTTTTTTGTATCTATTGTACCTCTCAAGTTGAAATGTATGACTTTGGGGGGAAATGGAATGAACGGGGTTGGAGCGAATTCGATGGAGTGTTTGTGTGTGTGTCTGTGGGATTTGCGCTCTTTTGGCTTTTTGTTCTGTTTGCTGTTAGGCAATTGCTTCAAGCAGAGTACGTGGAAATTCCTGTTTGGCGTTGCGGGTGGCGGGCGATGAGTGGTGCAGGCTCGGATTTCGCACTAGTGGCTCAACCGCGCGGCAACAAACCCGCCCTCGTCACAGACGAGGTCCTGTCACCGTTTTTGCAGCCGCGGCTCCGGTTGTCTTCATCCGGCTCTGACGGCGTGCCGTCTGTTGTCCTTGTGGGTCCGTCACCGCCAACGCCGTTTTTGCTGTCGCAACGGGGGCATCTGTCAATGAGCGTCAGTAGCGCTGAGGGCGACGTCAAAATGCCTGGAAATTTGCCGCGCGACGAGGAGTCGCATTTTCGACTGTGTGAGTCTTCTGGTGTTTTGTGTGCCGTTGAGACGCGGACTTCACGAATGGGGAAGGGTGCGATACCGGCGCAAAAATCACCCACGTGTGTGAGCGGCTGCCCCCGCAGCCCCAGAACGGCCACTGGACGAGGCGAGGAGGCGACGGAAGCGAGAGGGGGCCCTGAATATTTTTCTCCAACGCGGGTTTACAAGAGCAACGGTGCCGCCGCGAAAAGCTTCAACGCATGCACAAGCAAGACTAGAGGGGTTTCTCAGGTGACGTTAAAAAAAAAATTGGACGAGGCTTCCGCCTCTCAGAACGGCGATCGGCTGCTAATGGAGAACGATTTGGGGTCGAAATTACGGCGGGAATCATCTGAGATTTTAGCAGGTTCTCCCGGCTTACGCCACGTGCGACCTTTTGCGGATTGCACCAACGTAAATTGCGTTTCGAACGGAGGTTTGAAGGCACCCCTCATGCCTGCTGGTATCAACAGAAGTTATCATAGCCAACAAGAAGAAAAGCGCCCCATTCAATACCGAAAAGATAGTTCGTTTTTTTCGTCTGATGGCTTTAAACAAACGCTGCAGGCTCAGCTCTCTTCTCTCTCTTGTCCTTGTCCGTCGTCTGTCGATGTAACAGAGGGGGAGAGGCGTGAAGCGCAACAAACAAGTGTACCTCGCAACAGCAGAATGTGCGATGCCACAAAAAAACACTGGGTTTTGGACGATGACGGAGAAACCCATGGGGAGGCCGATGAAGAGCCTGTACTTCTTAGCGTTCTTATTGATCGGGGCTTGGGTAAAATGTGTGAAGAGGAAGCCGAGTTTTGGAAACACCGCTGTGCTTTGGCCGAGGAACAGATGGCGGTAGAAAATCGAAATGTTGATCATGATGATGATGAATTCCGCTCTTGTAAGACAGCACGGACATTGCTGCAGCAACGTGTGGCTTCAACACCAGATGGTAAGGGCCCCTCGCAACTTGAATCACTTTCTCATTGTTTAAACGATATACGCACCCAGCGTGTAGTGTCTAAGGGAGAAATTTACTCCGTGAGTCAGAAGGTGGAAGTGGGCAAAAAAGGGGACCAGAAGAATGAGGAAGAGGAGGAGGCATCAAAGCAAATAGAAGGGCGCCGTTTTGTCGCTTCCACCAGTCAAAAAATGGTGTACCAGGACGAGTCGCCGAAAAAGACGGCCGAAAAGGAGAATCAATGGTTTTTAGAAAAAGAATGTGAACAACTGCAAAGGAGTATTGCACGTCTCCGCTCAGAGCACGAGGATCTCAGAAGGGAATTGGAAACTCAGGTCATTCGCAGTGAAAAATTAGAAATGAGCCTTGTTGCGAAAGAGGAGCAGCAGGCGGCTGAGCGGGAGGAGTGGCTTTTGCAGGAAAATAAATTAAAGAATAGACAGGAAAAGCTGGCGGCTGTCCTGCGCCAGGTTCATCGACATGTTTCCAGCACAGCCGAGAAACTTGAGCAAAGCGAAAAGGATCTCGAGGCTTCCAGGAAGCGGTGCTGCGCTCTGGAGACTGAGTTGGCAGCAGCCAAGATGGAAGTCCTGGGTTTGAAGGCTACTTGCACGGAACATCTGGAGGAGGGCCAGCGATTGCAGAAACAATTGGAGCAACTCGAGTCGGAACTGCGGCCGTGCGACGCGAGCATGATGAATACGAGCAGCATTGATGGAAGTGACAAGACAGCGATATATAAGGGTGACATTGGAGATGGAACAGCATTAACTGATGTCTCGCGTGAGGACACGGAACGAAGAATTCGAGCTGTGTTGCTTGCAATGCGTCGCGGTGAATCGCGCCATGAGTGGATTGCATCAGAGCTAATAGATGCAGCAAAAGCTTTGGGAGGGAGAGATGTGAATAAAACAACATTTTCGAATGTTGACAAGGAACTTCGTCAATTGATGCAGTCACTAGACGTGCTGCTGAAGTTTAATCCGGAATCATCTTATGATGTGTGGGACTTCCCACCAGTTGAAGACGAGCAGCTTGATGGGCAGTTGACTGCTATAAACGACGGGAACTCCATCACTGATTGTGTGAGTCGCGCCCAAGAGCGTGTGTCTCAGTTGGTAGAGTGGGCAAGTGCACTTCAGAGACGACATTCTGAGCTGACGGAGGAGCTAGAGGTCGTTCGTGCCGATCGGAATGAACTTGTGGGGCGTCAAAACAAGGGAGCGCAACATTTGCAGAAGCTGCTGCTTTCAGCCGAAGAAGAAATGACGCGGCTAAAGGCTATTTTGGGGGAGCGCAATGAGACCATTAGGAAACTTAAGGAGGAATGGCGTTCTGCCGGTGATTCATCCAAGGAGCCGGCAAGAAGGGCCAGTGAAGGGCCTTTTGTGGCGACACAGGCCACCGGGGATGATGTTGACACTTTGCATGGGGCGCGCACTTGCGATTTTGAGCGTTTGATAGAACACATGGAGCAGCAGACGGAAATATTTGGGAATTCGCTGGACGCGTTGCTTATGGAGACTTTGGAAGCAGTGAAAAAAGCACATGAGAATCACTTGACGCAGGCAGAGTGGCGTAACATTGCGTCTCCGGAACGACGGCGAGGTGTTCGCAAAGAGCGTGATCTGAATCAGCGAGCTCAGGATGAATCTCTTGACGCCTTGCGGTCGGAACTCAAAAGTGTGCGGGTGGAGCTTGCTGAGAAGGAAAGTGCAATACGCACGCTCTTGCGGTTACAAATGCGTCAAGGAGAAAAGTTGCATCAGGAGCTGCGCAATGAACCGGTACCGAAGACACCTGGATCTTTGGGAAACTCGCCAGCGTCTTTTTGCCGAGTTCGGGCGTCGTCAACATCTTTGGGTGGTGAAAAATTTGCTGACGATATTTCTAATGGCCCTGTTTTGGATTCGCCCAAGGCTGCACCTCGCAGCGGAGGTGCTCTATGCGCAACGGAGGATGGGGTGTTGCACTTCCACAGTGCCGACCGAACGGGTACGGTACGAGGGACGTTATCGTCGTTTGTGCCTGCTACTGTCTCTGGGCACGGGAAACCGAATCAACCACGGCATCATCGTTCTCGTTCTCAGCATATGCCTCGGACGCAATTTTGTTCTTTGTCGCCATCTGGAGAAATTGTTTCAGGCTCGTCGTCGTCATCTGGCCGCTTTTCCAATTTGCTCCCAAGGGAAGCCACGGATGAGCATCACAGTTGCAGCAATAGAGTTCAGAGGGGTGTAATGCGCAAACATCAAGAGGTATGGATGCGCCAAGCCGAAATGATGGGAATATTGACTGATGTAAGCCAATATGGTGCATCGTCCTACCGGACAACTTCACTGCAGACAGAAAACTAACATTTATATAAATGAATCTTTTGAAAACAGTGATGCGGTATGATTATGCGCCTCTTAAAATAGAATCATCTTCTTCACCAGGGGGGCATAGCCATTCGGTACTTTTATTTTGCCTGCTATTAGATATTTGTGTGTCTTTTTTTCTTCTTTTTTCTTGCCTTTTTTTTTTTTTTGTGCTCTTCTGCGGAGGGTATGAGAGAAGAAGAGTGCGATAGATTGACAGTTTTGGTTTTATCACACAAAGTATGGGCGTCTTTTGGGTTTGGGGGAAACTCGATTGACACTATTTTTTTTTTACTTTTTCTTTTTGTTGTGGTTGCGAATGGTGACGCACCCTGCGGATTTCTTGTCTTCTGTGCTGTTTTTATTTTTTTTCTTTATATATATATATATATATATATATATATTGTTTTCTCTCTCTTTGCAGCCTCAGGGGAAAATATGAAGCGTGCTGCTTGGTGGTGCTTGCATTTGATTGGAGTTGTTGCCCCTTTCAGCAGCACCGGTGGTCGTCGTTGCGTCCATCTCCCTGCGGACGGCGATTCGGCGGACGGCAGTCGATGCACGGAAAGCAGGCCGTCTGGGCCGTCAAAGACAACGACCCGTTTGACCCTCAATGCCCTGTCGACGGATGTTCGACGTCTACTTGAAAACTCACCAACTCGGTGCTGGGAGACGCCTGGAAGCGTTGACACTGTCTTGACGATTCTACTCGGGCACCAACGCGGTAGTCATGGAGGAAATAGTGACATTCTGCACCCCTTACTGGGCGTGGAGATTTTAAAAGGGCTGGGATTCGCAGTCTGGACGGGTGGCACAATTGGTGGTGGCGGTGGCTGGGCCAGGCGCAGCGGTATATCCAAGGAGGATCTTGGCAAGGTCGCGAGATGCGTTTTGCAACCGCTACTCCCTCACGTAATCGGGCACCCAAGGGTGCGATCGCTTCTTCCCGTAATTGTCGAGTGGCTGGTTTGCATTTCCGATATTCCTCTCAGCGAATGGCTTCCGCAACTTTCACTGTACCTGGATGATTTTGCCGCTTTGAAAACCAACAGCCGATGCTTTATGGGACCTTCGCCGGGTTTTTTTCTGCAGCACATGACTCCCAAATTACTACATGGGGCGGTAGATACGCAGCGTGAGGTGTCTCTTGATTTGCATCAGGTGCTTGACAGAATGGTGCAGTTACTTGCTACGGGAGGTGGTGTTGCTCTAACACCGGAAAAAACGTTGTCGGATGGTTCACGTTCTGTTTCCGCGAGTAACGATTTGATTGACTGCATTTTTTGGCAGGGTGAAATCCCATTGATTTTGCGAAACAATTTTGTCCGTGAAGCTTATGTGCGTTTGTGTCACTCAACACGATGTGAGGCGAATGAGTATTTTCCTCATGCAGGATTTGTGGGAAAGGAATCTCAAACCTTTTTGATAATTCCTGTTGTGGATGACGATGTGTTTAGGCGTCTCCTCCTACGTCTAATGCCGACTTCTTTCTGCAGTGCAGCGTCTGAGACGGCGGCGGTTTCTTTAGATTATCTGGTTCTGGTCAAGCCTTTGCTAAAGCTGGAGGATCCTTCAATTATTTTTCGCTTCATCACGCCATTATCGGAGTTTGTGTCGGTCGTCTTGGATGGTGTTTTCTCTTCGCCACTTCGGCTTTCTTTTAATGGCATCAGGGCATTGATTTATAGCATCATTGGAGAGTTACAGCAGCTACAGAAGCGTCCACCGCCTTCCTGCTTCTCATTATTGCCTCACAAGCCGCGGATTCACGTACTTAAGGCTCTCTGTGACAGTTTGCTTGGCGATGCGGAGCGAAAGCTGAAAGTTGCTGGTGCTGACGCAACCTTTCCTGGGGTGCCGTTGCAGGATCAAGTGAACATTCTTCGTTCCTTTTCCCATGCCACACGCCGTCTTGTGAGGGCTGTGCAGGCGGAGAAGACAGCCAGTCTACTCGAGGAGGGGCCTGAAGGATCCGCCCTTCAGGCAGGTGGTGTTGTCGTGAAGCACAACGATGTGGCTACCATCCTCCGCAACACAGCCTTCCGCGTGCTGGAAACATCTCTTTTTCGATATTACGACGCACTTGAAAAGTGGTCGTCTTTATCCACTGGTGGTGATGCTGGGAACAACGATCATGTGGCAGACGCACTGACTGAAATTGAACATCATGCAGGAGGCCGATCGACTTTCTTCACTGCACGTCATCTTCTTCAGCACCCCTCTCGTCATGACGTTACAGCTGTCATAGAGGCTTTGCGGATTGTGGCGATACAGGCCCTAGTGTTGCGTTTGCCGGAGTGTGGGGAGTGGCTGCGGGAGAACTTTGCCACAGCGATTGCCGTTTCTTTTTTTGATGTGTGGCATCGCACAATGAAAAAAACACTTAGTTGTAATATGAGAGGATTGAACCAGGAGGAGGAATCATTTTCCGTATTTATGGAGTCAGAAAATCTTGTATCATGGAGGCTGCTCTGGACGATGCTGCTGCTTCATCAAAGTTGCTGCTCGTGTGATGCATCTATGAAGAGCCAAATTGGAATAAATGTCGGATCCGCTTCTATCTGTGTCGTGTTTCGTTCGCTCTTAGATCTGCTTACATTACATGGTACATGTACGGAGTTCAGTAGTTTTGGTTCATCTTTGCCTCTCCAGGATGTGGAAGTACTGTCTGCAGCTGAAGCAGAGGCAATGCCAGAAGTAAAAGAGGAGAAAAGAGATGAGAGACCCAAGTCGTTGCCAAAATGTGTTGCTTATTCGGCAATGGGAGGATTTTCTATTGGCGGAAGTACGACGCGATGGGAGCTACAGGAGGAGTTGTTGTGTCTTGGAGGTAGTGTTGGTAGGGGCCTGTGGCGCTGGCTGGGGACGCCACGAGCCGTATGGGAAGTTGTCTCCGCAGGGGCTAATAACACGACCACGGTCACTGGAACGATGCCTGCTGGGTCTGGTGGGCACTACGCCGGCTATCTTCTTCCATGGACGACGGTGGCACATAGTCGTCATCCTCTAAGGTTGTACGATGAGAGCGGCCAGTCAGCAGCAGCGGCCTCCGCGTTTGACGCCAATCTCAGTGCGCTTTTTCAGCTGGAGGATCGACCCGTGGTGCGGGTTGTGGGTCTCACAGAGGAGGCGGCGTTATTTCGTGAAATGGCTTTCACCCCAGAGTTGTTATTGGGCTCCGGTGTCAGTGTTGTTCACCCTGAGGCGTGTCGGCGGGGTCGAGGCCGGGATTTTTTGATGGAAATGGAGGTTGACGACGATGAAGACCTCGACTAAAGCAAACAGTAATGAGGAGGCGTCAAATGTTTGCGGTTACGCCCTCATCCAGATTATTTATTTGTTTTTTCCACGAGTGATAATAAAAGAACAAAAAATTCAAATAACAGTTATTGGCCCCAACTGGAGATGTGGGTTCTGCCTCTTTTTTATTTCATTTTTTTTATTTCTTTCTTTTTTCCCCTATTTCTCTGTCGCTCTTTTTCTTTTCTTTTTTATTGTTGTTTTTGTTGACTTTGGTCCTTGTCGGGCGTTGGAAGGGGAAGAGGCAGTAAAGAAGGCATGATAAATCTCTCTTTTTGCCTCCGTCATAAGCTGCGTGACGCCGCTGGAAATACGCACAATTTTGCGTTTGACATCATGACAAAGGTGTACCGGGAGGCGGTGTATGCCAAGGATGCACGATACGCCGGGAACCCCATGTACCCGGAACGTCAGACAAGCGCAACTGCTGCTGGTATTGCGCGTTCGCCGCCGGCTTCAGATTCCACTGTGGCTGAGTTAGGTAAAATACAAAAAGGGGATCAAACTGGTGCTTCGACGTCCGCATCCAGTGAGAGGCCTCGTTCGCAAAGAAGAAGTGGCGTTCAAGTGGATATTTTGAACCTTTACCGTGATATGCTGAGGGCGTTGCAGCGGTTGGAGGACCCGCGGACAAGAAAAGACCTGCGAAAGTTCATTCGTAGTGAGTTTGACAGCAATTGCGATATCCCACGCCGGTGTGTTACTCGCATTGAATGGCATTTGCATCACGGAAAAAACAAACTCGAGGAGCTGCGCACCATGCGACCTGACACGAAATTTTTTCTTGTGAAGTAAAACACAATAATAATTATTATATATATTTTTTCTTGTTGTTGTTTGCACCTTTCCATCTCTCTGTTTCTCCAAACGATAAGGAGGAAAAAATAAAAACAAGAAAACAAAAACAACAACAAAAACAACAACAGCAACAGCAAAAAAAGGGATTTCTCGAGGAAAAGGAGTACGACTACGTTGCTTGTCTTCCTATAACATTTTTTTTATTTTGGTCCTTTTTTTTTCTTTTTTTTCGTACGTGTGTCTTTTTTCAACACCATTGGATGTATAGTGCGGTAAATATAAGCGCATGTGCATGGGTTTTATTAGAGCACCATTTCTAAATTTCGCGTGAATTGGAGTGTGGGGGTTTTGTTGTTTTTTGTGTTGTCACTATTATTATTGTCGTTGTCGTTATCATTGTTGCGCTGCAAAGGAGAGCCCTGATCATGAAAATGAGTTACGGCGTCCACTCTCCACCGGCGCTGCGGTGTTGGTGCACGTTGCCTTTCAGTTCAAGGAGGAAGGCATCGTCTTTGGAAAATACTTATTTCAGTAACCGTACTGTCTTTTGTTCTTCAGCACGATGGATTTACCGCCGTCACTGTGAGGCGAGTGTGTCTGGTGCAGATCTTTCCTCCGGCTTCTTCTTTTATTCTTCTCTCAACAAAGAGCAGGTAACGAATTCTACCAGAACGATGTCAGCGAGTGATTGCAGGGGCGAGTCGGAGATGCTGAAGATTCTCCGAGCTCTTGGTATGGATCTGCCTACAATTTCCCACGAGGAGAAACATACTGTGGAGGAAGCCAACAAGGAGCTTGGGCGCTTTGGCGTACCGTGCACGGGCACCAAAAACATTTTTTTGAAGAGTAAGAAGGAGGACCTGGTTCTTGTGACGGCATTACACACCACCAGGACGAACATGAAGGTGATACAGGATGCTTTGTCTCTTAAAGATCTTCGCTTTGCCCCGGAGGACGTTTTGCGGACTCATCTGGGCGTTGTGCAGGGGGGTGTTACCCCGCTGGCACTCGTAAACAACGAATCAAAGAACATTAAATTGGTGCTAGACAAGGCGCTGGTGGAAAGTACCGTCCCTGTAGTCTTGCACCCGTGCCGTAATGACAAGAGCTGTCTGATAACGCCCAAACAGCTGCAGGATTTTCTTAGGAAGCTGGAGTATCCATTTGTGGTGGTTGACTTTTCGGCGGAAGCCACGGGAGGTACCCCGTCTGGTGATAACACAAGGGCAAAGAGTTCCACGTCTCAAAAGGAGACGGGGAAAAAAACTTCTCAGCCCGCCGCAGCTGCAATTACCGGTGGTGCTAATGTTACTGGTGAAACAAAATTGGGTATTCTGGTGAAGCGTGAGGAAAACTTCTCACAGTGGTACGTCGAGGTGATTACGAAGGCTGAGATGATCGAGTACTACGATGTGTCAGGTTGCTACATCATTCGCCCATGGGCATTTTTTATCTGGAGCCGCATCCAAAGATTTTTTGGGGCCCGCATTGAAAGCATGGGAGTTGAGGATTGTTACTTTCCCATGTTTGTCTCCAAGTCTTGCCTGGAACGCGAGAAGGATCACGTGGAAGGATTTGCGCCGGAGGTGGCATGGGTGACGAAGGCAGGTGAGACGGATCTTGAGGTGCCTGTTGCTATTCGTCCAACAAGTGAAACAGTGATGTACCCATATTATGCAAAGTGGATCCGCTCACACCGTGACTTGCCAGTGAGGCTGAACATGTGGAATAACGTTATTCGCTGGGAGTTTTCACATCCCACACCGTTTATTCGTACCCGAGAGTTTCTTTGGCAGGAGGGACACTGCGCGTGGCAGACGGAGGAGGAGTGTTCCCAGGAGGTACTTGAAATCCTTGATCATTACGCTGCTGTCTATGAAGAACTGCTGGCCGTTCCGGTGGTGAAGGGAAGGAAGACAGAGAAGGAGAAGTTTGCCGGCGGCTATTACACAACAACTGTGGAGACGTATATCGCCGCGGTTGGTCGCGGTTGCCAGGGTGGGACGAGCCACAATCTGGGCCAGAATTTTGGAAAGATGTTTAACATCAGCTTCCAGGATCCCGAGAAGAATGATGGTTCCACTCTTATTCCGTGGCAGAACTCGTGGGGACTTTCTACTCGCGTTATTGGCGTCATGACAATGGTCCACGGGGATGACTCGGGGATGGTGCTGCCTCCACGCGTCGCTTCGGTGCAGGTTGTCATTATTCCTGTGGGTATTACAAAGAACACTACGGATGAGGAGCGAAAGTCCTTGCTGGAGGGATGCAAGACCCTTGAAAGGGTGTTGGTAAGCGGTGGCATCCGTGCCAAGGCAGACCTTCGTGATAACTACAGCCCTGGATGGAGGTTCAACCACTGGGAGGTGAAGGGCGTGCCGGTGCGTGTCGAATTGGGGCCGAGGGAGCTCGCATCATTAAAAATATCACTTGTCTTGCGCCACGATGGCAGCCGTCGCTCTCTTTTATGGGACAAGGAGTTGCCCACTGCAATGACATTGTTGATGGACGAAATTCATAATAGCATGTTTGCAAAGGCCAAAAGGGAGCGTCAGGAAAATACAAAGAAATTGACAGAGTGGAGTGACTTTACCCCTGCACTCAACAGGAAGTGCTTGGTGTTGGCACCGTGGTGCGGTGAGATGTCGTGCGAGGACCAGGTGAAAAAGGACAGTGCGGAGGAGTCAAAGGCAATGCAGAGCGAGGAGGTGAAGGATGATGCACGTGCCCCAAGCATGGGTGCTAAAACGCTCTGCATCCCGTTTGATCAGCCGGAGTCTGTCGAGGGCAAAACATGTATCTGCAAGAGCTGCAGCCGCCCCGCGAAGCACTGGGTGCTCTTTGGACGCAGTTACTAAGTAGCCGGGGATGTGAGCAGGTAAGGCGATAGGAAAAGGCACGGGAAAATAAATGAAAAGGCTGATGAATTGCGGAGAGAATTCTCGCGAGAAGGAAATCAGAATGATGTGGGAGAGATGAAAGAAAAAAAAAAATAAAAGAATGGCAACACGTAAACTGCGGTGATGTGCGGCTTTTATGATATGCAGACCCAAAGGAGCGAACCCTTTTTTTTTTTTTTTTTGCATGCTAAATATGACTGTAATTATATAGCGTTGTTTTGGTGTTGGAGGTGCTTGCATACTCCCTTTTTCCTTCTTTTTATATGTCTTAATGATGGGTTGCATCCGGCATGTACCATTTTTTTTTTTTTTTTTTTCTTCGGGTGTGTTTTTCCTTGAGCTTCGGGGAAATGCCACCTGCTGTTTTAGAGGGAAAGGTGCTCCAGCAATATTTGTAGTTTGAGAACAAAAAAAAAAAAAAAAACGGAACCGAAAACGAAAGCATGTCAGAAACGAAAAAAGGAAGAAGAAAAAAGAGAAGGGGGATGGTTGTGAGAAGGAAAATGAATTTCTGATAATGAAACGAATACAACCTCCCTGACGTGAATGGTCGTACGTGTTCTTTCCGCCGACGAAAATAATGCGGGTCGCGTGAATAAACCGGTGGGTTGTGCTAAAAGGCGATCAGAAGGAAACAACAACAACAACAAGGAAAAAAAAAAAAAAAGATAAAGTTATAATAATTAATGAGTTAAGCGTGCGAGGAGCTTGTGAGTTTCTGTCTTTTGTGGGGAAGGTTTCTTTAGTTTTCTTCTCCGCGTTTATTTAGGTGTGGTTGGCGCCACGAAGCTGTTGAGAGCGTTTTTATTGAGGGTCGTCGAGCATTTTTTTTTTTTTTTTTGTTGTTGCCAGTTGTCAGTCGAAGAGGAAATTTCTTTTGACTGGGCACCGAAGGGAAAGGACGGGCGTGAGGGGTGCCAATACTACGCACCGGCGTTGAATTCAAAGGCGCAAACGCAAAAAGCAATGCGTGTTTTTTTTTTTTTTTTTTTTGCTTTACTGCTTCTTTTTGTAGCTGTTTTCTGTTTTTCCTTTTTTTTTTTTAATCCTTTAAAGGCTTGAGCTTGTCTTTTTGGTGGTTTATTCCTGCTGGGTTTTACTCGCGGCGTGGAGAAAGCGGGCTCAGTGTTCACATTTTAATATTATTATCCTTTTTTTTTTACGTAAAGGGGGAATTTTGTTTTCTCAATTGCTGATACGCGTGTCGAGTTGAGGGATTGGGGTGAGGGGAATAGGAAGGGGACGGTACGTACGATTTGGGCAGCTTTGTTTCCGCAGCGGACTTGCAAATTTTGGGGAATACATTTTGTTGAAGGGTATTGAGCCGCACAATGGAGAAGGAGGTTGTGTTTTCGAAGCGGATTCAGCAGCTTTGCCGCCGCATCGACCGAGCAAGGCCTGTCTTTGAGCAACACGCAAGTGGTGAGCTGAGGGTATTGAGTGAAGCGCAGAGCCGGCAGGTCGAGATGTATCCACTCTGGCTTGAGGATCTGGAGCATCTGAGGCAGGGTCGTCCACCGCCCTTACGCCCATCGAAGATGCCAAACGCAAGTATTAAGGCACCTGATGGGGCGACGAGCCAAGAGGAGTTACCCGCGAGAGACATTGCCGTGGTGGTGGGAACCGAATCAAGAAATGAGCTGGAACTTGCTGATGATGTCGCTGCACAGCGCAGTGAAGAAGGCCCTGCTACGGTAGAGAAGAATGGGAACGAAGAGGAGGAGGAGATGGACGAGAGAAGCTCGTCACAACAGCAGTCTAGATGCACGGAGACAAACAAGAGGGGTAATGCGAAGAAGCAGGTGGCTGCGAACGGTTTTGTTGGCAACTTTGAGTCCGAGAAGGAGCGTGTCGTTGAACACCTTCGATCCCTTCCGCCTGCCGCGCGAGAAACCTTCATTTGCAAATATCTTCGAAAGATTAACGATGCCGATGAGTTGCGAATTGTAAAGAAACGGTTTGAATCAGCAAACAATCTGCGCCAAAAAATGATTTCAGGGGACGTCAGTTCTCCCTCCAAGTCACAACTGGAAATTATCAAAGGGTTGCCGGAGCTTCGTCGCACACTAAGCAGTCTCAAGCGTCATGCGAAGATGGAGGAAAGGCGGGCGATGAAGTTTTTTCTGCAACACCTGGAGGAAATAAAGGAGGAAGAGGAGTGGAGGAAACAGCCCGCCTCAATTGTTTTACTGGAAAACGAGGATGAAAAGAGGGATGATGAAAACGGGGTTACTGAAACTTCTGCGAACGGGGAAACTGCACCTGATAATTCAACCGTGGAGGAAATCAAGGAAACACACGTAGAAATGCAGTTACCAATTGTTAACACGCTCGCTGCAGAGCAAACGGACTCCGCAATAAAACAGGAGGGCAATTTTGCTTTAATCCGGCGTGGAGTGGTGGATAGCACTGGAAACGGAAACAGTACACCCGTGCAGACTGAGGTCAAGTTAGAGGGAGAAGCCAATATAGATTCTTCTCTTTCTGGTCATACAAGCCTCTGTGGAAATAACGCAGTGAGGGGTATGGTTGTCTCTCCACGAGCTACGCACGAGGTTGGACCGAGTAGCACTGGCGATAGGGAGAGGGAGCGCATTTATAATCCTTCTGTTGATTGCTCTAATTTCAATTTCTCCAAGAATGGCTTGCGACCAGAAATAAAGACGCTACATTTTAACCAGGTGAACGAGAAGGAAGAGCAAGAACAACAGCAGCAGAAGCAACGAGAGAATGATGGGAAGAAGAGTGCAGGTTTGATTCGATTCGATGATGAATCCGCTTTTCTTGGCACTGACCAAAAGACGCGTGAAGTGGCGAAGCAAAAAGTGTTGGAGATGCCATCGCATATCACGAGAGAAGAACTTGGATTTATTCAGTTACACATACCGATTTTTTATAGGTACAAGGCTTCTGAGGGAAGAGAACAGAGTGCTCATACGGAAGAGTTAGCACCACGGACCGCTGCGGTACTCCGCCGAGTGGAAAAGGAGCTTCAGTACATCCTGCAGCACCCTATTCCACATGTCACGGTTATTAATTCTCAACTACGGCTAGAAAAGGGTAAATGCTCACATGCGAAAATTGAAGCTGAAAGCGATAGCATCACTCTGGCGAGGTGGAATGTGTATCTCTCTCCTTCTGATGGCCCGCTCGCGGGGCAATTGCTCCACATTGTGGTTGACTTTTCCCAGCATTACCCATTTGTTCCACCTCTAATCTATTCCACTTTGTTTTTGCCGCTGACTACGATGATGGTTTCTGAGAGTGGCCAGCCCAACACAATTCGGTTGTTTTCAACGTGCGCTCCTGCTGTGGCTGATGATGACAAAAAATTGGCTAATAAGAAGTGTACCATTTGGTGTCCAGAGTCGGGTATGCACGAAGTTTTTTCCCGACTGCCGAGCTTTTTTGATTCTGGGGCGTTTGCGGCTTCTCGAGAGGTACTTGGGAAGGAACTGTACAACAGCAGCGTTGCGGAGGCAAGACTGGCGTGTGGGAAGTCGGCGGTTGAGTTTCTCATGGGCAATGGCAAGGTGAAGGCCCCCACGCCGACCACAATAGAGATGGTGAACGGTCCTTTTCTTGTTTATGCCCCTGCTGCTTGGGATGCCAGAGGAGAAAAGAAGAAGTATGGAAATCCGAAAATTAAAGGCAAGAAGGGTGCATTCGGTAGTGAGACGGTACAGTACTACGAGGACGGAGATCGGGGCGTTATTCAGGGCCCTTTTAGAGGTTGTTGGGGACATTTGTTACAAATGCAATTGCCTTTTGCACGCGCAAGGAGGAATCAAAAGAAGAGGAGCAAAAAAATTTCACGAGGAGTAAATGGACCTGTTGTGACTGCCCGGGTTTGGGCTCGTGCGGGGGAGGTGTTTCCGGAACTGGAACTTGTTGCTATCTCAGAGCAGTCTGCCATCAGTAAAGAACTTCATTGGGCAGAGTCGGTTTTAGGGACTCCACGAACAGAAGGCCACAATTGTGAAAAGAATCAACAGCCATCTGGGTCATCAGCTGTCATTGCACATTGTAAAGTGAAATTAACCGCGCTTGAGGATGGAAAAGGTGCCGTGGTGCGGTTTTTTGTGGAGGAAGAGGAGGGAGTGACGAGGGATAACGACGAGAATGGCAAGTTCCTCTCGCCGCGCTGCGAGAATGGTGGTCAAGCGGGGGTGACACATGTGTACCTCCCCAGAAGTTGCGCCTCACTCTCTCCTGAGGGCGAGGGGACATCTTTGTCATGGGCCATTGTAATTTGTGTGGCGGATGGATGCTCGGCGACCGTGGCCTTTTCTGTTCCTGCAGTGGGAAGTAATGTGGAGGGTGTGAGGAATGCCGTGGAAGCGGGCACACACGTTTCTGATGTTGCTCTAGATCTCGTGGCTGGCACGGTGTCTGATTCCGCGGAACGTACTTTTGTCAGGCGAATTTCCTCTTGTTATGATCCAGCTTCACTTTTTTGTGTGGCGTCGTTGGCGGCCGGTAGAGAAGCAGGTATTCTTGGGGTGTTGTGTGAGGTGATTTACCCCTCCTCTTTTACCCATTCCTTTGTGCCGGAGAATGTAGTTGTCTTTCCACGTTTGATCCTAAGTGAGAATGCGTTTGACGCGCATTTTTTATGTGGCATGAAGAAGTTGTTTTTTACTTCATCCCCCTTTTCACCATGTACATTCTTTTTGCCATTGACAGCACGACACGAAACGCTGCCGCAGGCGGTACAAAACCGTCTCAAACTTAGTCTCACTCAGGTCCAGCGTAACCCTGATGCCTCGACGGCTTATGCCCCGCCCTTTAAGGAAAAGTGGGCGCTGCGTTTTTTTGTTCTTGCACTGAGGAGCCTTGGAGAGCAGGCGAAGGATGTACACGACGCCGGGGAAGCGAAGGACGAGACACGAGAATCTTTTTTACATTCTGTATACAAACGCACAGCTTATAGTTTCACCCAACTTGTCAAGGGCGAAGCGGGACTACAGAAGTTATGCCACTTTATTGCTGCAGGAGATTTCCCTTTAGACCGTCCCTCTGCTACTCGCACGTCACACAAGAGGGATGCGGAAGAGCTGGAGGCTCTGGAGTGGCTTTTAGCTTCGTGGTCCATTCGAACAGGTCTTGTTGCTTCTGAAGCTGAGAATAACTCTAATACTAATTTTATTGCCACTAGTGCTACTACCAGTAAGAATACAATTTTACAACCAACGAGAGAAGATTGGCATGCCACCACCAATAAGCTGATGGCAAGTTTGAATGAGAGCAAAAAAAAGGATCTCCTGAGTCAAATCCAATTGCATGCTAATTTTTTGTATGCTGCCACCTCAAAATGATATTAACTTTCTTAAACTTTATTTATTTATTATTTGTTTTTCTTACTCTTTTAAAAAAGTAAAACGTGGGGAATGATGAGGGCAGAAAAGAGTTTTGAGGGTGATTTATTTGCTCAGGGTTGAATTCATTACTTTTATTGTACGGCTGCGTCATTCAACTGCTGTCAACCGTAACGTATATATATATATATATATATATAACATTTTACTCCTTTCACCACTTTACCACTATCTGAATATCCTTCTCTTTTTAATCTACAGAAAATGGATTAAGAAGAACACCGGATTGTATTTTTAATTAGGCTTTTCGTTTTGTCTTCTTCCCTTGCCTCTCTCTTGACGCACATTTTTATTTAGGTGATTATATCTGCGAGACTGGTGCTATATTGAGGTGTGCCATTTATTTCATGCCTGTCTGGCTTTTTTTTTTGAGTTTGCACGGCATACGCATGTGCGTGCCATTACTATTTTCCCCTCAATTTGCGTTTTTTACTTTTTATTTTCTTTATTTTTTTCCCTTATTTCTTGTTGGATATTTTTTTTATTTTTACTTTGTTTTTCTGTTTTTGTGGAAGAGGGACAAAGTGTGTGGGTCGGCGCCGAGTGACGACGCAGACGGCTGTGAGAATTGCGTTTTTTTTTTTGTTTTTTTTTGTTTTTTTGTTTATGTGAGGGATGAAGTGAGAGATGTCTCACTCCGTTCCGTCGCTACTTCTTCGTAATCTCCACTGCTCATTGCCCGCTATTGCACAACTCTACAAGGAGGCTGCGGGTGTTGGAACCGGCGGCGTGGTGGAGGGTGACCGTGGGATGCCGTCTTGCTCTTCTCTCCCACTGACGGTTTCCACAACAAACGATGGGGAAGCTGTGCTGGACTTTTTTTGCCGTGAGCTCGGTATGGGGGCCTCTTCTTTGCGTCACTGGCGAAGCGGTTTGACGAAAGCAACACACCGACGCTGGTGGCGTGGGGAAAAACTTCCCTCACAGAATGCTGCAGATGCTTCGTTATTCACCGACACGGATGATGTCTTGTTCATGCAGAGTGCTATTTGGGATCTGAAGGCAGTGGTCTCACCCTTTCTGACGTTTACGAATCCGCGGCGGAAAAGTGCGGTGCGTGGAAGCTCCTTTATGGCTACCCGGCGCATATTACCTGGCATGTATCTTTTAAGTTTACCCGTGGAGGCGATCTTTTTTGCGAGCCCGCCGCCTGCTACTGACCCTATAACGTCGTTTTTTATGTATGTAGAGGAGCTGGTGGGACAGTTGGTGGTGGCGGGCGACGATGTATCGGAGAATGATTGGCGTCCCTCACATGCGGGCTATGTGAATTACCTGAAGAAATCGGTGATACCGAGCAACAACCTGCCTTTCCTGGAAAGGGAGGAGATTGCACGGATATTGCGGAGCGATAAAACCAAGCCATTATTAGGGGCGATAGGGGAAAGTCATACTGTGAGTAACAAGAGCCCCGCGCTTGAGTTGTGGGAGTATTTTCATAACGACATGCAAGGTTTACCGCTGAGCGCCTATCTGCGTCAGCGCCTATCCAAAGAGGAATATGCTTGGTGGGTGAGTTTGGTGCTGTCGCGACGTGCTGGGGCTGCGACCTTAATTCCTCTGGTAGACAAACTCAATCATCATCCGGAGCCCAATTGCTATTACACGATGGCTACAGAAGAGACTTTTTGCGGAATTGATGTTTTTGACAATCTCTTAGCTGGTGTTCCTTCTGATTTGTTATACGAGCCATTTCTGCATACGTTTAGTATTCGGGAGATACAGGAAGGGGAGGAACTGACGCTTTGCTACGCGTCTCCAACAATAAACCCGAATGACCGTGACTCAAGGAGTGCTGGGGGCATGTCTGTGACCTCTCAGGAAGGCCGAGCTGCATGGCAACTACAGTGGGGTTTTTTTCCAGAGAATGATTCTCCGTATTCATCCACGGATTTAAAAGAAGTGGCCGCCATTGTGGCGGAGCGTCGAGTAAACCTCCGGCGCCAGTACTTCCCACCAGATGGGTGAAGTAAACAAGAGAAAAATAAATGATTGGGAAGTAAAATTGAGAGCGAAAGAAGAAGAGATGGGTGGTAAAAAACTACAACAAAAAACAGCGTTCTGGGCTGTGGAATTGTAAGCTGGGTATTTGTCCCTATCTGTGGATCGAAAGAGATGTGTATTCTGTGGCATCCTTTCCTTATTATTATTATTATTATTATTATTATTTGTGTTTGTGCATGTTCTTTTATTTTATTTTATTTTTCTTATCCCTTAAATTTTTTGTTTTGTTGGAATGTATGAGCGTCACAGATAATCCGGCCTGCTTTCTTTGCTTTAGTAGAAGGGAGATGGATTCGGGAGAAAAGGAAACCGCCGCTGATGCATTGCAAAGCACTTCTTTTCCTCTGTCGGAACTCAAAAAATTTATGCATAATGCCTTAAGTTGGCCAGCAACAGATCTTACGCCTGACTCTTCGTTACCTGCGCTACAGAAACTTTCGAGTGGTCAGCCTATGCGTCTTTGCTTATCTCCGGGCATGTACGCTTGTCAGATTATCGAAAACACCGCTTCATGTTTAGTTGCTGGCGCATCTACTGTGAGGGATACAATTGTTTCGTTGACGGATAGAGAGGGCGAAAGTGGTTTTGTGGGAAAGGATGGATTTTCATCTATGGCAGTGTTTCAGCAGCCGATGAAGATTTATTCGCGCGCCTCCCTTGTTTTTCATAGAGTCTGGTTCATGAACATTGTAGAGGTGGTGGGAGGAGGTCCAGTCTTCTTTTCGCAGTGCCTTTTTGGGGCTTCCACATGCGGTGGCAATGTAGTAGGATTGCCAGGATCGTCACAATTTGCAAGTGTTCATCTTGCAATGGATGGGGATTGCTTTTTCTTTGACTGTGACTTTGTTTATCGTTGCGGTGTGGCGGGATGGGAGGGCAATAATGAGGTGCCTGCCGTAACAGCCTCCGGCCCTACAAAGCTTCATATTTTGAACAGTAGTTTTTCGGGTCCAGGTGTGGTGTCCACCGCACTGGCTTTATTTGATACCGCTAGGCTTGAAGCGGATTATATTTCTGTTGTCCGCTGTGGCGGTCACAGTCTTATCTTGAGGGATAAGAGTAGCGCAATCATTTCTCGTGCTCTCTTTGATCGTAATGACAGCGGTGTGTGGGTGAAGGACGATGGAAAGCTTGATATCCGGGAGTCTTCTCTTGAACTGGTGCGTCATGGACGAAGCGGTCTTGTTCTCTCAGATGGCGGGTATTGCTTGGCCCACAAGTGCATATTCTCAGCCTGGGCTGCGGGTCCACAGTCGATTGGTAGGTGCATTGTGGTGGCGGGTGATAATTCTTACGTGTCGTTGAGTTTATGTGAGTTGTTTTGGCGGAATGGCGAGGGCTCAATCAATTCACAGGAGTTAATTAAAGACCCCGACCCCGTTCCTGGTTCCGACACCTGTGAAAAGATGAAGGATTTTGGACTCTGTCATGTGTTGCTGGGAGGGCGAAGTGAGGCGACAATCTCCCGCTGTGTTTTTCGACTGCCACTCACAGTGGAGTCTAACGGGCAGAGCTCCGTCATTGGCGTGCTGCTGCGGAGTGTGCCGAAACGTGATTCCATTACCCTCTATGCGGTAGAAAACACCATTGTGTTTGGGTGGTCCATGGAAGGCGACGATGTGCGGAGGGCGAGATTGCCAGAGAGAGGCAAATCTTCACACACCTGGGGTCTCGTGTTGCCCTATGTGTCCAGTCGGAGCGAGGAGAAGAGGCTGAGGCAGCTGGCAACGATGTGGATGACTGACAATTGTTTTCTGGAGAGCAATGAGGAACCGCTGAAGGACGCCTCTCTCGTCTACAGTTCTTACGAAGGATATTGCCGAGGCACGGGGGTCTCACTGGTATTCCCCGAAGTGGCAAAAAATAAGGATGAGGATGATGCCAATGCGGTTTGTTCGTCGACCGTTTCTTTCATGACCTCGGATTTTGTCAATTCTCCTCCCGTGCAGGATTTGGAAAACCACTCCGTCAATGTGCATTGGACACCCAGGAAGTCGGTCACCTCGTTGTTGCCGGGCGGCGCAGCTTTGACGCCAAGTTCGTTATGCGAGAATTCACCACCGTGGAGAGAACATACATGCCCAGAACAAGGCTACCTGAGTTTAGTTGAAGAGGAGAGCAGCGATTCCACTAGTCTCACCTCCTACAGCGGCAGCGAAAAGGAAGGCCGTGGTATCACTGTGGCCAAGAGGGCCTCACTGTCACTGCCTGAAGTCGGCAATTCACCTTATGCATGTGCGCAAAATAACGTGGGTATTCTTCGATCGCCATCTGAACTCCCTTCCCCAAATGGGGTTCACCTTCACACGAAGAGATGTCGTAAAATATCAGGAGAGGCAGCAATTGGGCTGCCTGATCGCAAACAGGAAATAGTTTTGGAACCCTTCCCTCAAATGACTGTTGCTGCCACGGAAGCACCTCGGCCACTTTCAGTGTCTTTTGCGACAGATGAGGAAACGCCAACTAGCAGACCGGGCCTACAAGACGGGGAGCGACAATTTTGCTTTTTCGCTGGCGGCAGGCGTCGTGGCGTGTGCCAACGACGTCAATTGTTGATGAAGCAGGAAGTTATTGACTGTCAAAGGAAGCTGCAGAGTCTCATGAGTCGGAGATCGAAGGGTACGATTGTTTCTTCAAGTCACACTGGCACCGCACAAACGCAGAAGGTTCGGAATTCACTGGCGACGAAAAAGTCCAATGCCAGGATTTTCTCGGAATTATTTCCTTATCAATCAGAGTTGGGTCCTCGTCGAAGGCCTCTTTTGGCTGGAAGAGAGTCGCCAAGTGAACGACTCGTTGAAAAAGATAATGTCTCATCGAAAGAGGTATGGCCATGGGAAGTTCCAACTCTGAGGAGGTTTCTGATGGAGAAGCTTGGCATGTATTCTAGCATTGGGGCACAAGAACGGGCATTTCGTGGTCGTGGGAAGGATGAGGAGAGGGAGGAGGGAGAGGATTTGGTGTGGCCACCGCAAAGAAAACGTGCTCCAGCCAACCGTGTGAACGTGGGATCGTTGAATGGTAACTCCCGTGGGATGTGCAGCACCTCGCCCAGGAGGGAAACACGGTTGCGCTCTCCTTCATTGGTACCCACTCCAGTAGATTCTTTTTTTGCCCATCGCCCATCGCCGGGGAAAGCGGGATTTGTCCCCTTTCGGCTTTACGAACAGTTCTGGAAAAAATGGTGCAAGACGCATTTCGTTCGTGAATCCTCAAATCAACCACAACGCGATCAGCGCGAGGGTGAGTGCCGATCACGAGGTGAGATGGAACATCAAGCCCCACAGTTGCACAGCTCAGGGAACACGGATAAAAAATGGGTCCCTGCGACACGCGTGGCGGGATCTGCTCGTAACTACGCTTTTCAGCAGAGGGATGCCACGCAGCCAAGCAAAATTGGGGAACTGACGGCGGAAGTACGGCAACCGAGTTCAGCCGTTGTAGTTAATCAGACTTTACACGATTTCAGCGACAGAGAAGAAGAAAAAGCGGAGGAAAACGATGCTGGCCACGGTGCTACTGTGATTCCGCCGAGGATGCCAGTATTTCGGCCCCCACTGACCGCGGCGAGGGTTGAGGGGCGCAATAGGTTTGCCTTTAAAAGACGTAATCCTGCGTATTCTTCGGTGTAATTATGTTGGTTTTGCCCAGTTTATACATGAAACATTTTTATGCGTCTGTGCGTACATGTAATTGAGTAGAGAGGAGGCGATTTTTTTATTTTCTATTTTCTATTTTGTAGGGGTGGTAGACAGGAGTTGGATGAACACTCGTACGAATTCCGAATGACATGGAGGAATGAGGTTAAATGGGATCAAACTGAAAAGAAAACTTAAAAGAGGTCTACACCGAAAGCGTATACGCATGTATATGCACACATAGGGAAGCACGCAAACAATCTGTAATAGTATTTTCTCATTTATTTTTTGCTTTCTATATATATATATATATATATATATATATATATATATATATATATAAATTTTTTTTTTTGTATGCCAGTTTCTTTCTTTCTCTCTCTTATTATTATTATTATTATTATTATTATTATTATTATTATTATTATTATTAATGTTGACATTGCCGCTTACTTATTGGGGTTCCATTCGGTAATTTTACTCGGGGATGGGGGTGAAGTGGGGGAAATAATGAGAATGCGTATTCCATTTTGAGTGGAGTGGAGAAGCAAAGAAAAAAAAAATAATAATAATAAACCAAAACCAAAACGGATAAACGTCAAGACGAATTTACCTGATACATTATCTTACTTTATTTTTATTTTTTTAATTTTGATTTTGATTTACTTCTTTTGAGTATGTGTGTTGAGTTTTTTTTTTTTTTTTCTTTTTGGAATTGACATTTCTAATGCGGTCATGGTCTTCCATCCTTCCTTCTTCAATTTGGCGCCATCGTGGATTATATCCGCCCTGGAAGCCACAACTAGTTACACCAACTGGCGTATCTTTATGTGATGAATTTTCAAGAATATTTGCCTGGTTTCTTCTTAAGCTCCTTTTTTTTTTTTTTTTTTTTGCTGCTCCTATCGGTGTTTTCTTCTTCTTGGGGTTCTCATCTCTTCACCCCTTTCTCTTTTTCTTTGAGAAGTGACGTTTGCGAAGTGGACGTCATAAACGAGGGGGGCAGGAGGGGATGCCGCTGGAGACCATAAACCTCTCTGGAAAGGATGCACAGGATGGGGAGAAATTCACTCCAACACCCGAGGAGCTGCGCACCATCCAGGAGAAGATGAAGGACCCCAAGTTTGTGGAGCTTTTCCACAGTTACATGAAGTCCATGGAGGACCCCGAGACACGCCGGGAGGAGGAGGCTTATCTCAAGCAAGTGGAGCACCAGGCAAAGGCGGGCGGTGACTACAGCTTTGACTTTGTCTTTCCAAAACCGGGGTTTGTGGTGGAGCTGCTGGAGCCGTCCACGTCTTATCAAGTGACGCACCCGTCATTGAAAGCGGAGAGCAAAAAGAAGAAACATGTTCCTCGGGTGTACGTTAACATGTGTAGTAGCGAGAAGATTGACCCCTTTTCTGAGCAATCCACAGGAGACAGGGAGAAGAGCAATTGGCTTGTACCGGTGTCTGTATCAAAACCGAGAACGGAGCTGTTTTCGGAAGAAGTGGCAACGTCGGGGAAGACGGGAGAAAAACAAACTCATGAAAGCGGGGAGGGAACAAACCCCGTCGTTGTATATGACGCCTTGTTTCATCCAAACACGCTGCAGTTAACAGATCGCAGCGATCGCTTTTGTTGTTTTTTAGTGAACATTGCCGTAGAACATATCAATAGCGGTTATGGCGATTGCCATGGATTTGAGTTTCGTCGTCTGCCTAGCCGCATCCAATCGGTGGGAACCCCACAGAACCAGACGATTAGCCGCGAGAAGGGGAAGTCGCCATTTGCGGCTGCGATGAACGAGCAGGCACTGGCGCATCCGACAAAAGTGCTTCCACCTTTGACCTCCACCAGCGAGAAGGGGAGGACGACGCCCTGTAACAAGGGAAAAGAAACTAGTGGGGTTCAGGCAAAGAAAAAAACCGATGGAGAAGCTGGTGATAAAGTGGAGAAGAAGGAACATATTCCTCACTTTACAATTGCTCACCAAGGACATATTGATCTCACTGATACTTGGGGATGGAAAATTGTGGATCGGCGCGTTGGTGTGCCTGAGGCTCTTGTCGTCAAGATGGATTTTACAGGCGTGCAGTCCGCGGCGGACCTCAACATTGAGGTAGAAAGCACATACGTAATCATTGCGAAGAGTTCCTCACATCCCTATTATGGGAGCGTGACGCTTCCCTTTTCGGTGGAGTCAACGCCATTGGAGGCGAAGTTTGAGCGACGAAAATCCCGGCTCACGTTGGTGCTGCGCGTCGTGCCCCCAGCACCAACAGGAATAACTGCGGAAGATATGCGACAAGAATTAATTTCTGCTGGGGACCCACCGGACTCGGTGACGGAGCACGCCGAAGATGTGGTCACCGAGAGGAAAAACAAAGATTCCGCGCAGGACTCAGCTACTGCGGGTTGCGTTGCGAATGATGAAACTTCCACCGTCAGCGATTTACTGCCGGCGGAGGCCCGTCCCACTGCGGTGGAGTTGCCTAAAGAGACGCCATCCGTCCCGCAGTTTTCCTGCGTTGGGGATCAGGATCGTGTACGAATCGTGATGGAGAAGGTGCAGGCAGCGAGGCTGGAGCGTGAGAAGGCCGCCGCCGCAGCGGAAGAACAAGAGGTAAGTTTTGCAAAAACAGGATCCGATCCGCAGGAAAAGGAAAATGATGATGACCCCGCGAAAGAGTCTGCCGGAAATCCTGAGCATGAACCCCAACGAGAGGTAGTAACTGGATCCACCGCGTTGGAGGCAGCAGCTTCAACTCCAACTTTCACGCTCACAGAGGTGTCGGCGACGGCAGGTGCGGATGATGCTGTACATGTTGAGGATGGCACAAAGACTGCGGAGGGCGCTGCAGGACTGGAATTGCTGCGGCAGAGGCAGGATGCATGGCAAAGAGAAATACACCGACGCACTGAGGCGAGGCATGATGAGGACCGAGAGAAGGCGCTTATTGCTGATCGCGAAGCACGCCGTGAGGCCGAGCGCTTGAGGAGAAGAGCGGAGGCGGCGAAGCTTCAGGAGGCGGCGGCGGTGAAGCTTGCCGAGCGCATGGCTGAACTCCCGCTTCGTAATAGACACATCTTTACAGTAGACTAAGCATGCACAAACAAACAAACAAAAAACAGGAGTAGGGGGCGGCCATACACTGCACCATCTGTTCTTGGAGACTTAAGTGACGATGCACTCAATATTATTATTGCTGTTATTATTTTTTTCTGATGTATGTATGGCCGATAATTGTGTTTCTCTTGCGGTTAGTGACGTGGAGGCGTGGGGGAATGGAGAGTCTCTGACTCCAAGGGGCAACAAAAGAAAATGAAAAGAAAAAGCCAAGGGAGGGGAAGGGGTGTAATTCGCCCTAATGATGCAAGGGAGAGGCGAGAGAGTGAGAATATGAGGCGTAAAGACGTGAAGTGTAAGGTGGAGGCAAAAACGACACATGGTCTTCGTTTTTTTTTTTTTTTCCCGTTTTTCTTTGTTGCTAAATTAAGCGAGGAATGACCAATTGGAGAGAACCCTTCTCTCCCTCTGTCTCTCTGTACGTGTGGAATAGAATATTTTCTTTGCGTAAACCAAGCAGGACAAAGATAAATTGACCTGTGGAAGGGGAGAACCAAAGCAGAAAAGGGAATTACAAAAGAATATAGGGGAGAGGAGGTGAGTTTTTGCGTTTTGGATTTTTTTCCTCCATTGTTTCAATTGCTTTTATTTGGTTGGATCCACTGCATTGCAATACTGTGGGAAGATGTCTTACACGCACTGCCCGGTCTCCACATCTCCTCCTCCGATGGATTTCACAGTACTCCACGAGATCATGCGTGACCACATACGTCGAGGAAACCACTTTGCAGTTTTGGGAATACTGGCCCTCACTGTCGTTCATGAGGATCCAGCGTTTTGGCAGACGTGTACATATCACGATGGAATCGCGTCCGCTGTAATTGCCACGTGCGTTGGAAACGACGGAGTAAAAACACATCCCCCGCAGGAAAGCAGATGCCAGACAGAGGAGATCGCACCAAATTTGAATCAAGAATTTTTGACAGAGAACGAGCTTTATCTTATGCTGCGACGAGTGTGCGGTAAAGACCCCCTTCTTTGCCGGGTCATTCATCAGTTGGAAATGGATCCAGTCAAGGAGAACAACACCAGCAACGGCAGCAGCAAAGAGCTTGATGCAGCTGTCTCCGTTCCGTCCGCAGCGATGCGGGTGAATTTGGATGAGGTATTTGCCGTACTACAAGAGCGTTTTCGCAGCCTTGATGAGCGGAGAAGCCAATCGCAAGGAACAACTATCCCTCCGGCCACCATCGGTCCCCAGGCGTTGAAGCGGGCACGTGAATCGGATGTCTCCGAGGAAAATTTGGGTGTTATTGCGACGGAGTCGGCTGCAGTTGCCCCTTCAAAGAGCCGTTATCTTGAACCCGTCGACGGTGTTGATGGGGACGGGTGTAGCGATGCGTTGGAGGTTTTGGCGCATATACATGCATTGCCCGGTACCACTTGTGCCCTGAACTCTTTTGATGCCGTGGCGGGTCTTGTGGACGACGGCGAACGAGAAGGGCTTGAATCCCACAGTTCTAGACAACAGGGTTTGGAACCCAAAGGAACTTCTAGGAATGATATTGCCCCTGTTGGGCTGCGTCCAAAGCAGCGACGGCATAAGTTTACCCCTGAAGAGGACGAGGCAATACTGCAGGGGGTGGCGCGTTTTGCAAAGGGGCCTGGAAGGTTCGAAAGTATACTTTATGCCTACCGTGGCGTGTGGCATCGTGACCGGACAGCAACGCAGCTGCATGATCACTGGCGGGGAACTTTGCGGCAACGGGCTGTTCTTCAACAGGGAGGCTATCGGGGCAAAAACAGCATTGCGACACGTGGGGGTAAAAGCGAAATGGAATAAGAAATATCTCTTCGTTTATATATGCTGAAGAGTGAGTGTGTGAGACTGGATGAGGGTGAGGAAGACACAGACAGGACACCCGGTTTTTTATTATTATTATATTTTTTTCAATAATTAAAATAAAATGAAGGGGGCAGAAAATTGCGTGCACTTTTATATGTGTGTTTGTGTGAGTGGTTTGCTTTAAGGCGGATGTCAAAAACACGGCGCTTTTTTCCTTTTTGTTTGTCTTCTCATGTGTGTTTCTTGTATAGCAATTTGGCCGCCGAGAGTTGGTATTTGTTTTGGGTTTCGGAACGCATGTCGGCCGATAAAAAGATACGGAGGGATGTCCCACTGCCGAAGTCTTGGACAATCGGCATTGCCGGATTTTCCGGCATGTTTGGATGGGTCTTTACACACCCATTTGAGATGTGGAAGAACACAGTTATGATGGCACCCCCCGGCAATTCGCACTTAGACGTCCTACGAAAAGTAAGAGAACGAGGGGCTTTCAAGGGACTTTCGGCGGGGCTCCTCCGTCAGGTGGTATACGCCCCCGCGCGTCTTGGATGTTATCCCATTTTTCGCGACGCTCTCATCATGCTGAAGGGTGCCAGCCCAGAGACCGCCCCATCCATCGCAGACCGGGCACTTGCTGGAGCCCTTTCCGGGGCTTTTGCGAGTGTCTTGAGTTCCCCAGTGGAGGTGTGCCTTGTGCTGCAGACGACCTCTCCGATGAAGGTCTCCATCCTCAATGCAGCAACGCAAGTGTACACGGCGAGTGGAATTACCGGCTACTGGCGCGGAGTGGGAGCCCTGGCTTCACGTGCTGCCCTTGTGGGTGTGTGTCAGGTCGCTGTGCACGATCAGATGCTTACTTTCCTGCGTCGTCATAACAAATGCCGAGCAGAACGGAAGGGTGTGTCTCCGTACGGTGACAATCTTGTTGTGAATACTGCCAGTATTTTCACAGCCCTTTTCTATGCCTTCTGCACGATGCCTGTCGAGATGGCACGTGTACGCATGTCAGCCGAAGCTCGTAAGGGCAAACTGCCCTCCGGTCAAGCAGCTGAATTGAAATATAAAAATGTTTTGCAGGCAATATCCCGCATTGCCCGTGAGGAAGGTGTATTGACAATCTATGACTCTTTTATTCCGTACTTTTGCCGCTGTGCAACCCATACAGTGGTTTGTTTCTTTGTGATTGAGTGTTTAACGCGAAACGCAAAATTGTGGCGCAGTTCCAGGCTAACAAAGGAGAGCTCTTTTGGCTCTCGTCGTGTTGACGTGCCTGCGTGAGTGGGGAAGAGGGATGAACGGCTGGGGCGGGAAACAAAGAACAAAATAATTTTTTTGTTTACGTCGGATTGGGCGAATGGAGCGGATGAGGGAGGACGTTACCCGCAGAATTGTGAGATTTGTTCCGTTTCATTCAATTTTCCTTTACCGCAAAAGTGAGTGATCAACCAACGGCCATAGACCGAAAATAACAGAGGACAAGGGATGACTCAGAGCACAACACGATACCAGGATGGATGGAATTGCAAGCCCATTAAATTAAAACGAAAAATGAAAAATCGCGATATTAAGAGGAGGAAAAGGCGAGGGAAAAAGAAAACTACAAATTCGCATACAATTATAAACGTGCATACACAATTTTTAAATGTATCGCTTAAAATAAATAAATGAATAAATAATTTACCCGTTGATGAAGTGTGTGATGGGGAGATGAGGGGCGCTGGCTGTTAGACCGATAATGGTTGAATTAAAATGGAATTATTACCCAAGCAATGAAGAATTGGGGGAGAAGAAGGAAAAAGTGTACTCATTTCTTGCGCCCATTTCTTCTGGGAAGGAAAAATTTTTTTGGGTGAGGTACGTCAAAGGGAGCCATTTAAAAGAATAGTCATATTCATAAATGTATATAAATGTGTGTGTGTGTGTGTGTGTGTTTCTGCGTATTCACGGAATTGTTACTTCATAGTGTTTGTACATGGGAATCTGGTATTTCTATCTTTTTCTTTGTGAAGAAATAATTTATTTTTATTATTATTATCTTTATTTTTTTTTGATTTTATATCACCGGCTCAAATATATATATGGCCCCTTTCCCTTAACCACATATATATATATATATATATGTGTATGTGTTGTGACGGGTCAACGGTCATGCCTCAATGCATAGCCATGTTTTTTCACGTGTTTTCTTATGCGTTTCTTTTCTGTGTAACTGCCCGAAAAAAAGAAAGAAAAAAGAAACGAGCTTTTTTTTCGTTTCTTCGCGAAAAGAGGGCTTCTTTGGAAGGAAGGAAAGAAGAAGAAAGGGGGAAAGAAAAAAACAGAAGTGGAAGGCGACGTGATGAGTGGCTCGGAGATTGTGAGACTACCGCCTCGGGGCGGGGTGCCAATAGAAATAAAGCTGCGTTGGGGCATTCAAAAGGAAGATCTCACAGCGTTGGGGGTTCTGCACGACGCTGCTTTTCCTGTGAAGTACGAATCCGAATACTACGACTGGATGCTGTCGGACTCATGCCTGGCATTACTTGCATTCGCAACCGAAAACTGCATCCTGTCCCTGCTGAAGGCTGCAGAGCATCAGCAAAATACTGGAACGGAAAGGGATGAAGAAAATTCTTTTGGTGATGTAGAAAATGATGGATCCTCTTCACTTTACTCTGTCATGGTTGGTTTTTGCATTGGACAGATCGCATATGGACAACGACGTGATGGTCGGATTGATGCGTCACCGACTGGGTACTTGGGGTCTTTTGCGGTGGACAGTAGGATGCAGCGTTGTGGTGTAGGGGGAGCTCTTTTGGATCGCTTCCTGTCGTACATGTTCTTTACCGTATCAGTTCCACCTCACTTGTTTCTTGACTACTCTCCTCCATATCTCGGGTACGAGAGTTTGTGGGGATTGGTCTCCTCCGCATATCCCACGTTATTTGACTGGATTTCTCGGTGGTGGTTTGGGAGGGATCGAGAAGACACGAACCATGTCCCTCAAGACACGTTGAAAGATAAGAAACCGTGTGACTCCGTGGACCCCACGGTTGACAGTCAAAGTGGTAGGATTCAGTGCGGTGTGGGGGAGGTGTGGCTGCACTGTATAGCAGCGGACACAAAACTGCTTCTGTACTATATGAAACGTGGATTTTCCCGCGTTCTTGTAGCACCAAATTTCTATTTTTTTGGTGGTCGCTATCACGAAGGAGCGCTTCTTGTTTGTAGAAAAGATGAGGCGTTGATAGATTTGCATGATCTTAATTCAGCACGTGCTACGGGAAAAAAATTAGAGGATGAGGCGGGTCAAGAGACTTTTATTGCGAAAGGACTTTCGAATGGTTTCAGGCTGAGGAGCGGAAACGCTGTTTTTCCGGCAACAATGAGTGAAGAGGGCTCGGGCGAAGCAGAGATCGTGGATCTGCTGCTTATGACGGATTTAGCGGGGCTGCGTCGGAAGTGGAGGTCCAGTGTGGGAAAAACGGCCTTCTTGTCAGACCTGCTGGCCTCTTAGTCAAGTGCTGTGGTGCAATTTATGGAGGCGGTGGCTATGATGTTTTTTTTTTTCTTTTTTTGCTTCAGTTATGGCGTGGGGATTCGGACAAAATTTTCTCCTTCTTACTGAGTACGGGATCATGTTTCTTTCCTTTCTTTTTTTTTTTTTTTTCCTTTCTTCTTTTTTGCTTTTTTTTTTCTCCCTGTTTCTTTGTGTTTTCTTCTTTTTTTTATTTGTGTGTGTGTCAGGCGCGTGTGAATCTTTTGCGCCGTGTTTGTTTTGTCCGGAAATGGTCTCTGGAATTGGGAGAGCTGGAGCGGGAGTGCTGGATTCGAGACGAATGGAATGTGGATGACGCGCATTTTTGTCTAATGATAATTCCTGTGACAAATTTTGTGCTGCAATCCCTCTTTCTTTCCTTCTTTATTGTTATTATTTATTTCTTTCTTGTCTTTTGGGCAGCTATTGAGAGAAGGGAGGAAGAGTACAAGGAAAACACACACTGTGTAATCAATGTTGACTAAATCAGGAGGAGTGGAGGCCAAGTTGGAGGCTCTCCAGAGCAAGTTGGAAGCCATGCATGCAGACATCAAAAAAATTGTTCCCCATAGTGTTTCGTTCCTCAACGAAGACAACTCTGTCACTCGTTCCACGCCTGTTCAATCGTTCACAAATGGTACTGCGGTTATGGAAATGCCAACGATACCCATCGGGCGTGGATCGCGCTTAAATGCAGCAAGCCCTGCCGCTGAAGCATCCCCAAACACCACTCCGTCTTCTTTTTTTCTTCCAGTTATATCAGGGGGAGGATCACCGAAACGCGTTGGTTTTCAAGAAAAAGGGCATGGGGCGGAGACAACAAATTCATTAAATACTCGTCGCAAGGCGGAAGCAGCAAGGCAGAAGTTGCAAGAGTTTGTAAAGCCAATGATATTGTCTCCAGGTGAAGAAAATGTTGCGGAGCTGCGCAGTGCCCCTTGCGCGTGGTTGTTGAGCATTGCGCTTGCATGCAGTTACGTTTCTGGTGAAAGTATCACCATTGAAGACATCCTTCGACAAAACCGTCTTGGGCTTCACTACGTTTCTTTTCCCTCCGTGACCCTTGCCGAGCTTTTTGATGTCACAAATGAGTTTCTGACAGACCACCCCAAGCTACGGGAGATGAGGGTACATTGTGAGGTGGCAACATTTGACTCCGAGACGGTGGAGGAGCTGGGGGAAGTGATGGGCACGGGAGAACGCCTGCCCATCATGACACTTTCTCAGTTTCGTAAAGACCTCTCCAACTGCGATCCTCATTCCATCTGCGTTCTTAATTTTGACCCGTATCTGATTGAACAGCACGAAATACGGATGCGGCTTAATTACATGGAGTTAAATGAGACAGATTATCCGATGGAGACAATTGTTCCACGGTGGCCGGCAAAAAATCAAGGAACGTTTGGTTTGATTCTCAACTTCAGTCCTGCGTTGCACACTGTTACTGTGGGGACACCGATCCTATTGGAAAATGGCCGTATTGTGATTCAAGAACACACGGTCCCTGTACAAGTTCTTTACAAGGCACTTTGCGTCAAGGATAATTACTGTAATCGTTCTCGTGGATTTGTGCGTGTATTTATAAGTGATCAACCTGTTGAAAAGGTACCATCTATATTTCCTCTAAACGTTCTTGACGGCTCGCTTACTGGCGGTTTGCTAACGACTGCACTTGATACATCGATTTCTCCCCATATTCTTGGACTGTCAATCATGCATCACCTCGTGACCAACGTTCTCCTTGACGACACAGAGCAACGGCGACAAAATGCCACTAATTTTTGTGATGTGATGTTACGAGGTATTCCGGTTACTCTGGTTTGTCAACAACTCGGCCTAGGTATTGCGACAATTGTTGGGGGAAGTAACAAGGCTTCCGTCCCTTCTGCCTTTAGCTGGTATCGCGTCCTCTTGAAGAAACTAAAAATCGAGGATGCCATTGCACTGGGGATTGTACTTGTAGAACGTCGTGGTGGGGCTGAAGATGGACCTGTAAACATTTCGGATGATACGTTTATGAGGCATATTGAGCTTGCCGTGGAAAGTGGCAGTGTGATGCTTATGGGATTTGATGTAAATGTCGCCCTCAACGTCAAGGTGGACAACCGACCAGAACCATGTCATTTTGCCATTGTTATTGGCATGGATCAGGAGCGTGGAATAGTGAGGCTGGCTGATGTGAATGTGAAAAAATACCGTAAGACTTGGCATCTACCGGTAACACGGCTCTATTCCGCTGTTATTGGTTACGGCTACATTGTGGCAGCCAAATCACGGAAAACCATTGAAAAACTTAACGCAACGGGGTTTGAACAATCCATTCTGAGTGAGGCTCGTTATGCGCTTCCACCGACGCAGCGATTATTGCGGTTTGAATACCCGAAAAAAAATTATGTTGTTACGATCCTCGCGGATGCGTTTGCTCGTCTGGGATTTAAAGCGGATGTGGAGAGTGTTGTAAATTTCAGTGGATTTCATCTTTCGTTTATGCTTTCAGAGCACTTGCCTTTAGAGAACGCGGCTACCGTGGCACGCAATTACTCTCACACGCATGCAGAGGATGGTGTAAGTGTTGCTACAAGACACATGGACAAGGGTGCAACAGGTTCCACCTTACAAGGCCTTCTTCAACAAATTCGATTTGCCTTACAATTTCCAGAGTCACGTTGTCTAATTGTGAATTTTCAGACTTCCATCATACATGCCAATAAGGCGGTGTGGAACGGCAGCAACGGCGGATCTTATGCGATTGTGCTTCACTTTGATGAATCCAGTTCTCTTGTGACACTCAGTGATTCGAATCATGAATCTTTTTACAGAACCTGGGTGTGCCCATTGGACGTTCTATTTGATGCTGTATCCGCTGTAGATTCGATCGCCCTGCGTGCTAGAGGTACTCTTATGCTTACGACCACATCACAGCGCGATATGTATCTTGATTGCTACGGCTATGATATGCGTCATTCAATTGTGCATCATCCCTTCAAACCGAGCGTGTGGCCTGCGTTTCACTGTCTTGCCCTTGTCGCATCCGAGATGAGCCGTGGGGATTCAACGACGGGTCAGTCTGTACAATTTTCAGCGGAGGATTTTCTTTACTCGCTTTCATCTTTTTCCGTCCACAACGTGCTTAGAAACGAATTGGAAAGTGAACACATTGCTGCGCTCGCCAACACGGCCTTTGAACGGCTGGAGATTCCCCTTGAAGCCAATGCTGTGGATGTCACGATTTCAGGATCTTTTATAAAAGCTTGCTGCGACGAGACGGTTAATGGGAAACCGGTCACAATGACGCTCCTGGGGTATGACACACGGCCGATTCATCGAGTGGCGGGGTTTTCTGTTGCTGCCATCAATCGCGTGCGCGGAACCGAAAAGGAGGGGTTCGTGCAATTGGTGGAGGGTAATGGCTGCACCTTTGGATCTGTCTGGGAGCGTCCAGCGCAAGAACTGCAGTTTGCGGTGACAGCAATGGTGAGGATTAGGCGGCGTTGAGAGGAACAGTTTTTGAGGTGGCGAAAGCGTTTCGCAGCAGTTCTTTTTTTTTTTTTGCTCTCATTTATGTATATTTTTCTCCCACCACCACCACACGTACAGCAGTTACCATAACAAGACGAATCTGGAAGAACGTGGGTAGCGCGCAATGTGCTGCAGAATCAGAACATATTTTTCCCTTCTTTTCTTTCTTCTTTTCTTTTTTTCATGGCTTTCTTCTCCCTGATGCATTGCGGGGATCAGGAAACAACTTCATTTGTCTTTGGAAAAATTGGACGGGTGAAGAGACGATGCATTTTACTTTTTTTTTTTTTTTTTTTTTTTTTTAAATCCCCCCCTTCCCCACTTTACAGCTTGGCTCTTGGAACTTGCGCACGTCCGTGTGATGCACCCAAGGCGGTGGAAAAGGTTTTCTTGTTTGTGAAGGGCTTTCTGTAGCCGAAGGAGGAAAACACATAAACAGAGAGGGGAGGAAGAGGAAAAAAAGACGGAAGGCGGAAAATTATATGAAAAAACAAAACAAAACAAAAAATAAATTATAAAATGTTGTAGCTTTATTGTTGTGCGTTTATGTATGATTGCAATGAAGGTGGAATGAAAAGTATACAAATATATATGTTTATATAAATAAATATATTTATTTATTTATTTATATATTTGTGTGCGTGTAGGAAGGTGCTGCTCTCCTGGTTTAATTTTACTGGAGTTTTTTTTTTTTTTTTTTTTAACTGAAGCAGGAAATATGAAAGCACTGTTATATTTGATTGATTTTACGCCCCCAAAATGTCTTTTGTGGTGGTACAAGCCCTTCACCTCAATGTGGAAACCCCATGTTTTTTTTTTTTTTGTCCTTTTGTTATGTAATTCTTATTCTTATTCTGCAGCATTTTCCTCTTTTGCTGGAATTCGTCTTTTTTTTTTTTTTGCTTGCTTTTTTTCTTCTTCTTGACACCTGCGTTTGTGGAGATGTATACCCTCATTTTTGCCTTGTTTTTGGGGATGCATTTTTGCCAACCCTCATCCCTCGTCATTTCGGTTTTGTGCGCTACACTCGGAGGTGGAAGCTGCCGGTGTTGCGGGGGCTCATGTATTTTTACTATTCTTCTCTTTCGAGGGCTTGCGGTGCGGGCGGGAGTGGCGTGAGGATGCCAAGAAGGAATTTTCTTCTTTTGCTGTCTCTTTTTTTTTTTTGCTGCTTCTGCCGCTTCTGCCTTCTTGTGTGGATGACTTTGCGTGTTTGGCTTCTGGTGGCAGTCTTTTTTGTGTTTCCACACGATCGCTTTTTCTCTCCTTTTCTCTCTTTTTGCCATCGTCGTCGCCTGTCATCCTGCCATTCCGTGCGCCGCACACGTCTTTGCAGGTGTTACACGGAGCGGCGTGGGGCTGGCGCGGGGACACGCACACGCACAGAGGTAGAAAGGGGATTAGGGCAGAACGGGGGTGGGTGGGTGGCTTAAGCATTTTTTTTTCTTTTGTGTGTGTGTGCTTGTGGGTGTCGTTTTCAATCAAAAAATTTATTGGGAAGTGAAGGAAGAAAAAAAAAAAAAAAAACCAAAACAAAGAGAAAAACAAAAGCAACAACAACAACAACAAAGATACAAAAACAAGGACGCCAAACATTGCGCAGACTTTCATTTATCATCTGTAATTAATTTACCTGGCAAATTTTTTTTTTTTTTTTTTCTGCGGATTTTGTAAACGCAGAGAAGAGACGGGATTGCTGAATCCACCCACACTTTCAGACACAACATTACAAGGGAGTTTTCTGGTTTTTTTCTTTTCTTGCCTTCTGTGTGTTTGTGTAGGCGGTGCGTGTTATAATACACATAGTTCCTTGACTTCTTTCTGCTGTATTCGTTTTTTTTTTTTTCTCTCTCTCTCTCTCTCTGTCGTTGTTGTTGTCGTTGTCATTTGTTGGCATCTCTTTATTTCTGTCGTTTTTCTCTGATTACGTCCTTGTGGGTGTGTGCTGCACTTTCGTTCTTATTCTTGTACGGGATCGCTTTGCCGGGCGAGTATGTCGTCGGATATCATTGAGCACAGTTTTTTTTTTACACCCCTTGAGCGGGATCGCATCGCTCACGCGGAGACGTTTGTTGACACCCGTCCAAGCAGTTTTGTTACGGTTATTTTCAGTCCACTTTGGCAAGCGATGAGTCGGCATTTGGTGCCGGAGATGGTGGCGCCTAACGCTATTACACTTGCGGGTCTGGTGAGCTCTATGCAGTCGTATCAAATTATTAGTGATCATTATGATGGAAGCGAAAGTGACCCAAATAATATCGAAGCTCAGACTCCCATTTTGTTATCGTGCTTGCTGTGCCTTGTGGCCATTGTGTGCGGTTCCTTGGATGGTGTTCACGCAAAGCGCTGTCGATCGGCATCTCCTCTTGGTGATATTTTTTCCCGCGTGTGCAGCAGTATTTCTCGTATATTTTTTGCCTTGACACTTATGGAGGCATTTAGCGTGAGAGACCTTCATACGAAATGGTATTTGCTCATGGCGATGCAGCTAGTAGAGCTCAACACGGTACTTAGCCGTATTAATGCGGATAACCTCAAACCTCAAAAGGCGAAGAATCTTGCGTATCATCTTACGTATTGTTTTCGGGATTCGGAGTTGTCCTTTTTGATCCTCTGCGCCTTAATTACACGTCTTGTTTATCCATCTACGGGCTTTTACGTTTTTTTTATGTCAAATTTTCCAAAATACAGTTTTTTAATGCTGGTGGTGGTGAGCTTTGTTAATGTGGCATTACTGAAGATGAAGCGGAAGTACAAAAGTGGAATCGCGCTTTGTTTGGTTGCGCGCGTAGTTCCCTTATATAAAATTTTATTATTTAACAATTACAGTGTTCTCAGCGTGATCAGTGGAGCTTTGGTGGTCGCACTTCTTTCGATAGAGGTACATGTTAGCAACGTTGCCAGGCGTCGTGTGCATGCGGCAGTGTTGTGCATTAGTATTGGTTCTGTGTTTAACGACATCTTTTCCATTGTAGCTTCCGTTTTGTACATCATTGGTATGTTGGTGGATCTTTCTTATTCCACCCGTATTCCGTTGTTTGTACCAGTAAGGAACGTCTTTTGCGACGGTGTTTTTGACTTGTGTCATGCGGGGCACAAAAACTTTATGCAAAATGCGTTGCAGTACGGCAACCGCCTTATTGTTGGAGTCTGCGGGGACGAAGATTGTGAGAATTACAAGCGGCGACCCATCATGACAACAGAGGAGCGTGTTAACGAGGTACGTATGTGCAAGTTTGTCTCGCAGGTGATTTCAAACAGTCCGGTAACTGGTGTTACGGAGGAAATGATTAAACGGCACAACATTCATGTTGTTGTTTGCGGCAAAGAGTACGACCGACCCGATGATACGTTCTACGCCGTTCCACGGCGTCTTGGGATTCTGCGAACAGCCCCTCGCACGGAGGGCATTTCCACAAGCGTGTTGATTGCGCGTATTCGTGCGGCCACGGACGCGGATGTGGTGGCGAAGGACAAGTCCTCAGGACGCTCTGTCGTGAGGGATGGATCATGACTCTTCCCATGGCTGTAGGTTTTAGTGAGGAGAGCCAAGGCGCTTCAGTTCAATGATGGACAACGGCAATTTGTGTTCACTGCAAATTTGACAACCGCAATTATGCATCCAGGGGCTGTATACGTCGCCCTCTTAAAAGGTCTTGTGTCTCAGGGAACGAGGCCGGATGTACAGGATCGAACAAAACAATAATTAAACGACGAATTCACACCCAGCACACCACAATATTATAAATATATATATAAAGAGAGGCGCAATGAAGAAATTCAAGCAGAAAAAATAACTATTGTAAATAGCTGGGTTTCTTCTCTCCCAATTTATTTTCTGCCTTTCGATATGGTACGTAAAAGAAAGAAAAAAAAAAAAACACCAAAAAAGACGACAGAAAAGGAATCACAAGCGTCAGATGTTGACGCATATTTTTTTTTTTTTGTCTCTGACTTTCCAGAGAAACTATTGTCTGCTTTTATCATCCTGTTTCAGTTGTGAATTTACGTTTTTTTTCTCTTCTTCTTTTCTCTCTCCCTGATTGTACGTGTGTGTGTGTGTGTGTGTGTGGGAGGGGGGGCATGAATTGTTCCTGCGCTGTTGCTTTTTTATGCAAACCTTCTGACTCACGACTTCTTCTGTGTGTTTTCCGTTGCCTCGTGGCGTGGTGGGTGGCAGAGGAACACGTGTTGACAGTGCGTGGGCAGCCCGTTCCGGCTAAGGGAGGGGCGCAGGAAGGAATGATCGGCAGTGCTGTGCCACCCCCATTTGTTTACATCCGAAAATATTCCGGTTTCAGTGTTGCCTTTTTTTTTTTTTTTTTTTTGCGTTGCGCTTCTGCAAGCGACACCGGGACCCGTCGGAGCCTCCGTTACTTTGCGGTGTGGAGGTTTTTTGGCGAGGGTGTTTTTGGGCATCAGAATTTTACGACGCGTCGCTTCTCCCCCTGCTTCCGAAGGAAAGGAGAAGGAGGAGGAGGACACAAAGCCGGAAGCGACACGAAGAGAAGGAGTGAAGGAAAGAGAACAAATAGACATAATAAACGACCCCAATAATAATAGTAATAATAATAAAAGCAACGAAAATCAGAGAATAAGAGGGATAGGGAAGGATAGCGAGGGAAATCAACGAATCTCAAGGATGTGCACTCCAAATGGCAATGGGTTTTATGGGGATGCCATGTATCAGACACACTTTTGCATCCGAAACAAGCATGAAAATGGCCTTATTGGAGTTACGAAGTCACGTTTTTTTGGCTCATATGGGGATTCCGAATCATGTAACTTGATTGGGAATTCCGTCTCGCTTCTGCCGTACGGCTATATGGGGTGCACAAACAACGGAGGCTCACCCACATCTACCGCAAATCAAGATATATTACCTGCGACTTCCTTTCCCTTGGCTGTTAATACTGCTTCTGTTAGTATTGTTACCCCCACTGCTGTAATACCACCAGCTTCCCATGGTTCCACCAATACAGTGGTTACTCCTTTGTCTCAGCGGCTTCAACGGCAGGCAGTTGTTGTGGTTAAACTGGCTGATGGGCAGCCAATCCCATGCATACCCGTCCAGCAATTGGTTTTGGCGAGACCGGCTCCTTTAAATCCTGCTTCACTGCTTACGAGCGAGGGTTTCCAAGGGAGCAAAAGCTGCAGCAGTGGTGTGAGCTCTCCGGCTGAAGGCGGTCCAAGGGGTGCTGGAGAAGGAGTTATATCCCCATTAAAATCAACGAGTTTTTTGGATGAACAGGCAATAAATACTTCCCGGGCCACGGTTTTCTCGGTTATGTCACCTGTCACACATGTTTCTTCAAAGCCATTGTCTTTTGCGTATCATCCGTCAGCGACACCATTGGCTCAAAATGGGAACAATGTTTTGCAGCCAGAACCTGACAATATTAGAAAAAGTGATTTTGACAGGAGAAATCCAACACCCACCAACAACAAGGGTACGATTAGTATTAAAAGTCAGGGTGATTTTGCTGGTGACGAGCTCCGCGTTGATGTGTATTCTTCTGACTTTAGCTGTATTATATCTCTTTCACCTTCCGCAATCTTTCACAAGCCACACCCTTCATTGGGTGTTTCTCGATTGGTTCTTTGTCGAAAATATTTCCCTGGTCGCTCTGATAGCTGCTGGAAGGGTGCCATGTGCAAATTTGTGCATGCCGATACGACAGGTGCACCACGATATTCCATTCATGTTAACTACTCTTGGCGAAGCGCAGAATGCTGCACTTACCCGCGTCTCCCAGCAGGCGAAATGATTCATGTTTTGGCACCAAATGGTCGACAACCGTTGGAGACTTTTCCGAGTGAACGCATTCTGGTTACACGTGGTAGCATCAACTGGAAAAGCCGTATTGGACCACTTTCACGTTGCGCTCACTACTACTTCAACTGTCTTTGCAACCGGGGTGAAAAATGCAACTTCATTCACACAGTTTATGTGGATCTAAGTGTGGAGGGCGAATTTAAGCGTGCCCCGGCCTCCAGAACTATTCCACCGGCCAAAAAGCGGGCATCACGGGCAAAATTATTTGCTTCATCACGATCCGATGTGGCTGCTAATGGTTGTGTCTCCGTGAGCAAGAAGAAACCAGTTTTGATGCAACCATCACGGGGGTACAACAATATCCTTTCTGAGGATTTTTACATAGATGGCGACACGGTGCCAACCGCAAATCAGAACCTTGACCTTGCAATACCAAAACACGTTACGGACTCCTTTTCCCACACATTATTGTCCGTACGTGACGGCAGCGCGCGCAGCAGCACCAGTGGGGAGACGAGGCCGATTGAATGGACATTTGTGGATAATTCGGAGGATTTAATTTTGTCAGAAGGGGAATCAGCTTTCCAGGTCTCATAAATAAAGCGCTGGGGCGCCGTATGGCTCTGTGAGAAGAGTAATTTTTTTTTTTTTTACTGTTTTTGTCTTTTCTTTTTTTATTTTTATTTATGCATTTTTCATTTGTTGTGGGTTTTTATTCGTGTTTGCAATCTTAGAGAATCAATTGCCGCAGCTCCGCGAAGTCGGTCGGTTGAGGCTTGTCATAATAATAATAATAATAAAAGGGCAATGGGTTTCAACGATAACGGAGAGAGAGAGAGAGAGAAAGAGAGCGTGTGTGTGTGCGTGAGTGCGGTGAAGCAACAATGTTCGGAAAGATCTTCTCTCTCTCTCTCTCTCTTTTTTTTTTTTTTTTAATTTTATTTTGTTCTAATTTCTTATCTCTGAGGGCCAACTAAAAGTGGGCTGTATATGTTTTTTTTTTTTTTTTTTTTTTAATTAGAGGCATGTATGCACGTCTGCATTAATGAAACATTATTATTATTATTGTTATTATTGTTATTGTTATTGGTACTTTTTTTTTTTTTTTCTTCTTCTTTCTGTGTGTTTTTTTTGTGGTTAATACCAATGAAACAAATAAACGAGAATTTCCATCATGGAAAAACAAAAACAACAACAACTAACAAACAGACAAGCAAGAAAAAGTAACCACGGCAATAAAAACTGAACGTGAGTGTGGGATTGGCGTAATCATAATTGTGAGACGCAAGTTTTATTATTTTTATTTATTTATTTCTCTCCGTGTAGATCGACAAGTTATTTATGCGGTTGTTGATGAACGGTGATGCCCTTTTTTTATATGCCACGCATCTGAGACTGCCATATTTAACTTGATCTCTCCTCTTCCATGTATTTATATCCATATAGGTAAACATACATGTATGCATTTACAGATATATAAATATTTATTTATAGAAATATATAGTGAAGAGGAAAAAAAAAAAACAAAAAGATGATGAGGGGAAACATGGGAAATAATAATAATAATAATAAAAACCTGAATATTTTTTGAGCATGCATTTTTTTGTGCTTTGGCGTCTTGTTCTTTCCTCACTTGGTCATCTTGAGCAACCGGTGGAGGAGGGAGAGGTGCACATCGATTTCAGAAACACATGGAAGGAATGTGCGACCAGATGAGAATAAATAAATGAACAGGTGTTTTGTAATATATACATTGGCCTCTTTACATGCTGATGGATTTGTTTTGTGGTGATGGGGGGAGCGAGCTTTGAGGTGGCAAGGACAGTTTGTTCTCCTTCCCATCCAACCCCCACCCCATTATTCCCCACCGTGTGGAGGGAAGGGGGCGGCTCCAGCTGTTGCGGGGCTCTTGAAGACTGCCATTTCGCGGGTTTCTAAGAAATTAGGTTGGGGTAGAATGAGTTATGCAAACATTTGTTTATTTGTGTATGGGTGCTGTATGTATTTTCCCTAAAATGGGAAGAATAATATATATTTTTTTGCACTGGACGAAGGTCTCATCTCCCTAATGGTGCTGCTTTTTTTCTTTTTTTTGTATGTTTGTATGTTTGTATGTTTGTTGTTGTGAGAATGGGGGAAGAGGCTCAGGGCCACAGTAAAATTTCTGATTTGTTTCTTACCAATTTGTTGCCACATTTATGTTCTGCCTCTTATGAATCGTCTCTATTTTGCTGCAAAAGAAGTTTACAAATGAAACAAAAGAAGAGAGACAATTTTATTTTTATTGTGTTTATTGCTGTCACAAATACTTCATTTTATACTTTATTATTTTTTTTTTTTTTAAACCACGCAATGAATACACACAAGTAGGAAATGGAATACTTAGAAACAAAAGGCAAAACGTTGCGCACGCGTAAATAGAAAAGCTACTTTTATATCCGTTATTAATTTTGCGCCTACGCATATATATACACGGTGCCGTCCCATTTGGTGGTCCACACACCCCCGGCACGTTTTAATATTTCCCGATTTGTTATTTGCCGGAACTACAGGTGCGGTGAGGCGGACTCATGTACTCTGGGCGAAAACTGCAAGTTTGTACATGCGGACGTGGACTATTCAACGCTGGAGGGGCAACCCATTCATGTGAACTACATTTGGCGTGATGAGAAGCTTTGCATTTATGAGCGGCTGCCTCCCGGGGATGTTTTGGAAGTGTTGCTGCCGAATTGCAAGCATCCTGCAGTGATGATCTCAAGTGAGTATGTCCTTGCGACACGGGGTGCGCGTTCATTTTCGAAAGGGAGACCACAAACACTTTCGCATTGTGCACATTACTACTTCAATTACTTGTGCAGCCGCGGCGAAGACTGCAGTTTCATTCATCCGATTTATGTTGACCCAACTATATCTGAGGTTTGCAAGCGTGCAGCGGGTCGTTCGCACCGCCAGCGTGTACCAGGTGCTGTGAGGTCGCCTGTTGAGAGGGCCGATAGCGACAGTCAACTCCAGTGTTCTCGTCAACGTAAAAAGTGTGGTGTGCCGCCAGAGATTCCAGTGACAAGTGATGCTAGGAACTGCCGTGGCGACGGGGTGATGGCGCCTACTGTTAATGCTGAGGGCCTGAATTCGTGGGCGGGGCTGAACGGCCCTTCAGAAGCAAGCAGCGAGGGACCACGGCACAGCTCATCAGGCGAGGAGGGAACGCTGGGGCCATTGGTTGGGTTGAAGTGCCGCGAGCCGAATGGTGTACAAATGATTGGTTCTGCCTGTGGGCGGGCTGCTATGAGGCGTGCTCGTGTTTACCGACACGATCCTTATGGCATTTTCTAGTTGCTTTTTAAAAAGCGTAATATCTTTATTTGTGTACTGTTGTGTGTATATATGTGTATTTATGGTGATGTATGCATGCATAGTTCATAAAATTGCAAAAAATAGGGCATTTTGGATGGACTGAGAAGAACAAAAAAAAAAAAAAAAGAATACAAGAAACAAACAACAACAACAACATCAAAAACCGAACGGTTTTTACGGAAAATATCCTCACGGGTTTTACCATGGGGTGGCTTTTTTTACTCTTGTTTTTTTGTTAATTTTTTTTTTATTATTCGTTGTTGCTGCGAGTGTTTTTGAGCGAGGTAGGTACGCATGGGGCGTAAGGATGTCGTTCAGTTACTGTGTGAGAAGATGGAATTGGGTCCTCTGGCAGTGCAGGTTACTTCATCATGCCTTGTGGATGCAATACTCAATGCTGCCAGGGGAGCCAAGAGACGGCAACTTCTTCTTTACGGGATCATGGCTAGCACAGGCCGTATACCGAAGGCGAAGCTCCCCTCCAACTGTATCTTGCTGGAACTCACTGTTGAAACTTGGGGTGTGGGGGTGCGTACTGTCGTGATGTTTACAGTGCCAACGGATACACCGCCCCAGAAGAGGAGAATCTTTTTTTTTTTTTTTTTTTTTTGGAAGAGGGGCGATGTAACCAATTTGTAGCGCAATGTCGCCGATTCCATGATGACAAAGAGGTCAGGCCGCCGAGAAGGCGCAACTCACCCGGCGACGACACCCCGATGGGATCGACACCGGTCGAATTTCGCTGTCCAGCATGCGGCTTTTGGCGCCACAGCGGTGACGGACTGGCCCACCGCCGCACAGCACGCCACGGGGGTCGACCTGACATTGTGAGAACCGGCCCGCATGAACAGCGCGAGGAGACAATTCTGCATCTACTCCGATGCCCGGCTCTGCGGGCGCCTGGGATAAAAATGGACTGGACACTGAAGAGGCGAGGAAGCCGCGCTTCAAGAAAAAGTTGGCGCGGTTTTTCCTTGAAGTGGAACGGCTCCGCCGCCAACAGCGCCTTCACGCGGCGAGGAGGCACGACGCCCCTCACGGATGCGGCGTGAAATCGATGCTCCTGGAAGGCGCCTTTTTTTGTTCTCCTTGTTGACGGATGAATTGGCCCAATGATTTGCTGATTTGTTATTTTACTGATTTTTGGCAACGGCGGATCATCGAGCCACCGCGCCGGCCGGGGCGGCTGCGTAACGTGTGCGTTTCGCGCCCTCCGCTGCGGCTTCCTTTCCGGGGGTGGTGATTCTTCTTCACACCTCCACTCAGCAGGGCGGACGTGCTCTGCGATGGTGGGTGCTGTGCGTGTGTTCGAGTTCTTTTGAGAGGAAAAATGAAAGAAAGGACTGGCGGGAAGTAAAAAAAAAAAAAAAAAAATCACGCTCTTCTTGTGCCTGCATTTTTCGGCACGCCATATCAGCGCGCACCCTGCCCGGACACTATTACACGGCCCGCCGTGTTTCCAAGGCGGCGGTTGTCGTCCTTCCCCCGCAACGTTATTTGGACTAGGAGTGAGAGATGTTGGCGGTCGGGCTGCGCAGCGATGGTGCAATTGAGGAACGGTGAGAAATGGACGCGCCTCCACTGCTGCACAGCTGTTCACATTTTTCTTTGCTCTCGCAGCCCCCTAACATCAAACATCACGGTGACAGGACTGTGGGTCAACTCTAGTACTGAGATTGAAATATTCAACCAACGTTGCGTTTTTTCTGAGGATTCACACAGAAGAGGCTGACAATAAATTAATAACGGCAGCATGGTTTAGACGTTGTGTATTTTGCACTTTCACTCAGGTGTGAATTTTGTTTGCTGTGGTATCCGCCGGTGGAGGGATATGATCCCTCCGCGATTGCACGACAGAAGATGAACATGGTGTTGTGTGCTGGGGAGTTTTTTTTCTTTTTGCGCATTGCAACTCACTTTGCTTGCCTACGGCGGCTGCAATGAGGCCTTGCGGCCGCGTGCTCGTCGCACATGTCTCATCTTTTGCTTTTGGTCTCTCGTTGTGTCGTTGGGAGGGTGTGAGCGACGGCGTCGGTTGAGCGGCGCCTCATTGGGGGAAGGAAGGCACTCACCGCTGCTGACGGTGGCAGTTGATGCTGCAGGCGATCTGAGGAGATAGCGTAATTTGTGTCAACACCAACCGAGATGGATGAGGACCGCACCGCATCTCTGTTTTTTCCCATCGCCTTTTTTTTCTTCTGCGGACACGCGCCACACGCACCGCAGAGCAGCGGCGCGACCGC